TGTACCAGCATATTCAATCCTACCACTGGTTGGCCGACTCCTGGCAATGGAAGGAAATGTCTCAACTCCTCGCTAAAGACGTTGAGTTTGAATTCGACTATGTCCCCAGCGAAGCTGACCAATCTGGTGCGTGGGCCTTCTCTAGCTCTCCATGCATTCATCATTCATTTACCCCAGTCACAACATCAGCAGCACATTATCCCTGTCGACTTTGATTTGAGAGTTGTCTAGACCCTCGATCAGTGGTAGCCAGAGCAAATTTCTCTTCTTCATCATGTCGTCCTTTCTGTAATGAAAGTCGATCGAATGTTGAGCTCGACATCCGTGGGTAAAACGAGACTAGTGCTGACTCCTTCACTTCAGAAGCCGGTGGCGTACAACTTCGAGCTGAGAAAGTCATAGGGGCTGAAAATGTAGTTGCCATGTTCGATAACTTGGTGAAGCCATTCAAGAAGGCTATGCATGTAATCGTCAACACCAATTTCAACATTTCAGGCTCGACCGCGACGGGAACTGCAAACATCTTGTTCTACGGCACCCCTGATTTGACTAAGCCTCATATGTGCTACAGTATGGGATCTCGTTATCACTGGAAGTTTTGCAAGGAGGGGCCTGTGTCACCTGCTGGTACTAATTGGAAAACCAGTTATACTAGAGTTGAGAAGATCTGGGAGCATTCGACTCTGCCGCAGTGATTCGTGAATTGAAATCGACGGCGTCGATCCATAACGATAGACCAAAAACTTGTCGTTTCTCGTCTGTATTACTCAAAAACTATGTATGTTGTGTACTTCAGTGCTGCAAGGATTGGAGAGACCATACTGGAGCTCGTCTTGAACGATAAGCAGAGTTACATATACCATGAGTATCACATACTAGAATAAAGCATCATGGATAGCAACACACACAAGCATAAGTGTCATTGATTAAAGAAACTATCCACGAACTTATAGGGTGTGGGGTACGGGAACTATCTTAGTGATGTGAAAATCTCTGAGCAAGCTGAAGTCTCTTGAGTCTTCGTTCAGTGGACCTACACTGTATCCTCAAACGGCCTTGACTTCGGAGCCATCCTCGACAGAGACCTCGCCTTCGGAAGAATCAGAGGCTTCCTTTTGGTGCAGCAGAGCAACAACCGCATTTGTCATGAGAGAATCAGAAGAAGGGCTTACGGCGGCAAATATGAGAGACAAGAGGCCGAAGGCTATTGTAGTGAGCCAGACGGTGTTGAACGCCGCAACCAAGGCTTCACGGAATGCCCTGATGCCGACGCCAATGATCTCAGGGGTGGCTCCTGGAATGTCATCGAAAGACCCTGTGCTTACGGCCACAATAAAGGTCGGAATGGAAGATAGAGGCAGTCCAGCCTCGATCAGTGCTGCTGGAACTATTTCTGGAATTGTGGTAGCCGTGCGGTTTTGCAAGACGGAGATGTAGACGGTAGAGCCTATTGTAGCAATCATGAACCGGAGAGTTCCTGCGGCACCAACGGCAGACCCAATGTCAGTTTGGTCTTTGACGAAGACGCTGCACAGCGTCAGAGACACACCCTCAGCGTATCCCAACAAGAAGCCTCCAATGGTTGTCAGGCAAATGATGGTCGTTCTGTTGTCGACCGTTGCACTCGCATTGGCACCAATCAGGGCAGTGGAAATGACGAGACAAACGATCAACTGCCACTTCACGTGCGTAATGTAACGCGCAAACGCGGCTGCGATGGCGCCAGAAATGTACGGCACCGAAAATACAAGGCACAAGATCGAGCCGTATCTGGGGTCTGAGGTATATACCCCGAAGACCATCTGGGGGAAGATGACAGATAAGCCATAGAAGGCCGCAGTCACAAACCCTGATACCATTGTCACGCAAATCCATCCTAGCATATCAATCAGACGTTAGCCTAGGTACGCAGGCTTGGTCATCCCACCCCTGGAGAGAACAGAGGTGCAGTTTTATCACTCACCAAAGTCAGTCAAAACTCGTGGAGGCATGAGAGGTTCTTCTAGACTCCTCCGAAATTCCCAGAAGCCAAATGCCACGGTCGCCAGGACTCCGATCACGGTTGTAGAAATCACGGCAGCGGATTTCCAAGGATATACCGAGCCACCCCAAGAAATTCCGAGCAGGAAAAGAGTGATGCCGACCGTGTAGAGAAAGAGGCCAATATAGTCGAACTTCTTGATGAGCTCCCATTTTGTGGTGTTCGCATGTTTCATGTGGAATGTTGGCGGGTAGTAGAAGAAGTAATAGAGAACAACGGCACATGTGTTGACGATGATCAGGAAGTAGTAACACCATCGCCATCCCGCCGAGGTATGTAGCACAAATGCATAAGAGATGGTCGGACCAAAGCCGGCGGGAACAGCAATCCACACATACATGAACGCGTTCGCCATAAACCGGTGCTTGATCGGTGTGATTTCACCCAGAGCAGCGAGGAAGGAGAGCTGGACTGCAGCAGCCAGTGCAATAATCACAGTACCTCCGATCATGGTTGGAATATTCTTCGCTGTCGCGCAGACAACGTCGCCAACTAGAGCGAGAAAGGATCCGAAGATATAGAAATATCGGCGTCCAAATATGTCGGTTAGACGTCCAACGATGGAAAACCCAATACCAATCATCAAGGTATACATCAAGCCGATCCAGACATAATTTGGGTCGGGCCCAAGATCTGCATTGAGCACACTGAGGATGGGAGCAGCGAAAGAGAACCCACCAACGCCCTGGATGTTGAATGCGAGTCAGTACGATAGTTCGATGACTGGATCACAGAACAATAAGGCTAAAGGGGTTCTCACACTGAGAGCGGCAAAGCCAGTCGCGATGAAAGTGCCAACAAAGTATTTCCCTTGGTAGTAACTGTTTGGCAGAGTATCTCCATCCACCTCATGAACTGCATTCTCTTCATGCTCCAGAGACGCAGATGCCATAACATCGTCGCCTTTAGAGGAGTGGGAAGGCTTCATTGTGGTTTGGAGAGGTTTTGTCGTTGGTCCCATGCCAGGGTCTATTCGAACAGAACTTTCTGAGGATACAGCTCCAAAGGATCAAGTAGGTATGGAGTGATGAACGATGAACGTGACTTCACAAGCCATTTATGTAACCATGCAGCTCTATACTCATCTATACTTCAAGTCAGTTCTCAATCTCGTCTCATCGAGCCCCACTAGACTCATATTCCCCAGGTGGTGACCGGCTTACAAAATCAAGCACCCTGAATCGCCTTTAACTGAGGAAAACATTAGGCATCAGATTACCGAGTGAGCATTTTTGCCATTGTAGCCATTTCATCCATTGAGGCCTGGACATTGTTGATAATCCGCCCGTGATAGAACTTGATTCCGCCGCTATATTGCTGACGGCTTGTGCCAGGCCCCAGGAATGCAAGTGCTAAAGGAGGTTTGAAAGCCACCATCTCACCATTCATCGAATCGAGGGTAGATTTCGGCTCAATCTAGGTTAGACTGTTGATAGATTGACGTTCGGGCCCAGTCTGCGGGGACCCCGTGTTCGGGGCCCCGGAATCATTAGACAATTTGGGGAGCGGAAAAGACGAGAAAGTGGTGGAATAGAACGATAAACGCACCATGACCAAACCTTCAAATTCCTCATTGGGCCAGGAGCATGATCTTTCCGGAGATTTCCGGGCAAATGTGGTTCAAAGATCATCTCTTGTTGCTAATCAAGCGAGAACAGTGCAGCAGAGCCTATTCTCAAGAACCTATCAAACGGAGCCTCATAGACAGCCCGAAGTCCCTACCCTCAGGTGAAGGACGGATGAGGCAGGAGAAGCAGTTCTTAGAGATTGTTGATGCTATCACTTGTGCGCCAAAATGACCCTGCTCTGTTCTGGAGAAGGGTCCCCCATGAGACAGCGTGTTTCTGGTTCTCGCGTCCTAAGGCGCCGCCCACCGGAAACACATCTCAGGCTGTTGGTGTTTAGCCGAGTCTGGCCGATGTGATACAGGGTTGTTGAGATCTGAGTGGCTGATGGTTTTGCTTCTGTGAACTGCACATCCGTTAGGGGTTCACCCTTTCTCCCCTCTCCCACCTGGACAACCTCGACCACTCGTTTTACCATGCCTGAGGCATCTTATCTCTTTTTTTGGCCCCAATGTGTCCGACAGTGCCGCCCCATGGGACTTTTGGAGTCAAGCAGTGTGCATTAAATTGCCCATGGCGCCAGAGATTCTCTCAGCCTAATCCTCAAAATCCCATGGTTTCAACGCCGACAGGTGTTCATCATGTGGAACGAGTCTCGGGGTCAAGCTTTTCTTGTCTTGGAAACTTGCGAGGCTTGATACCAGACTGACCATCACACTGAACACTCCCCAAGCTTTCCACAACCCTCGCTTACTGAAGTCCTTTAGCAACATCCAGATTACAGCCTCATCAGAGATGACACGCATTGTACCACCCTAGCACGTAGGTTCGCATGCACGTTCGTCTCTGGTGCAGGTGTGAGTGGGCGGGCAGCTGGCGCCCTTCAGCCTAGCCACCACCATGTGCAAGCCGAAAAGGGCGAAATGTGGCCTTCGATCCAGAACCGGAATGACTGGTAAACCCCCTGGTCTATATTTTTAGACGAGTGATCACTCGATCAACCATGTGTTTCGCCAGAACCCTGCGATTTTTACTGCACTCCTCACTCAGCCTGATGGGACATTGCATTTCAGAACCCTTCACTTCAACCATCACAAAGCACTGCCCCAAGGCCCCTATTTTCCCATTTGTCCAACCATGTGGCAGTCATAAGCGTTAGTGACAGATCAACATACATACATGCATGGGTGCACACCTACACACATCCATATCATGACATCGGCAGACGACTGACTTGAGTACTTTTGTTGTTTGAAGTGATATATCTCCATTGCCCTGCCACCTGCTCTCGCCTTGCTTCGCATTTTCAATCAAGTTTTGGTTTTTGGTTTTGTGTACAGATAGATGAAGGACATTATCATTTCCACCTGAAGTTTTGTACCTAAGTACATACAATGCCACCAACCGCCACCCAGGGCGAGAATCTACGTCGACTTCGCGACAGCCCCGTCTGTATCATTTGTGGAAGACCCGGCGAAGCAGCAACAATCGCAAGAGCCTTGGGCATCGAAAACCAAGTCTTTCAAGGCCATGAAGTCGCCCAAGTCGACAGCGCGCATACATTCTACTATGGAGAATTCGATCTCGCTTCAGGCGAGAAACTCGGCTATGTGTTGACAAGCAGCACGCGTCAGGGTATCCAATCCTTCACCGTCCACGCCGCCCTTCTCTTCCATATCCTCCGTCCTAGGTTTGTGATCCATGCTGGAGTGTGTGCGGGATTCAAGGATGCTCAGAAGACGTAAGCGAGATTGTGAATTGTGAGAGGAGTTTTTCCACTGACAAGTATTTTTATGTGAATAGGATTTCATTAGGTGATGTCGTCTTTGGAGAGAACGCAGTCAATTTGGAGGAAGGTAAATTCAAGAAGTCCGACTCCGGCGATATTGTCTTCATTCCCGATTACAACATCGTTAGCGTTCGGGCAGGGGATATGCAAGCGTTTGCGGACGATGGAGTACGGAAAAATTACCACTATGGAGATTTCATCAGTGGATCTGCAGTTCGTGGAGATGCACAGATGATCTTCACGAATATTCGTCAACAAGTTAAGAACTACCTCCCTGAAGATTTTTCACAAGCTCGTCGAGAATTCTAAAGTGACCATCATTATCATTAGATGAAACGAAATTCCATCGCCGTCGATATGGAAGCCAGTGCTTTCCTCGAGCTGTGCCAACATTTCTTCAAGGACAGTGCTTGTCTGGGTGTGGTCAAGGGAATTTCGGACTTTGGAGACGAATTCAAAGGAGATGACCCCGATGTGAAGAAGAAAGCGCTTGAGAATACGGCGGTTGCTCTGCAACAGTGGATTACCACGAGGATTTCGAGGATATACTGGGATCCTGATTACAGTATGGACACACTGTCTCGTGAAAGGATGGCTGACGACTGGCATATGCTGACTATTTTCGTAAAGGTAAAGAACCCGCCGCCGAAATCGTGCCTGGATATTATGACAACTTTGTTCGACGAGTCTTGGACAATGTGAATCAGGGGTTACCTGTGTCCAAAAAGATCAAACATGACGAGGTAAGATTGGGATGGTACTGAACCGGTTCCCTCCCGGCTAACTCGAACGATTTCTTCCAGCATCCAAAAGCCCTGCTTCAAAATCAACCTTCTACTGTGTTGGATGGAAAGAAAATGGCTGGCTTCAAGATCGTTTTGCCCAAAGACAATCAACCACGACAGTACAGCACCCTTGGACCTATTTCCGCGGTGTGCAAGAAATACGGTATCATCGAGGTCGAAGTTGGAGGAGTAAGTAGCCATATGAAATTCTATACATGCAAAACGGATTACTGATCTTGATACCATCTAGGACCATGGAAAACGAGGCCTATACCACGCACGGGGATACCTGATCGATTTCCCCCGAACTGTCAACAGGTATGCCGACACCTTTGACGCGACGTATCAAGTCAAGGTATTTGGCGAGCTGTTGAAGAAAAAGGAATACTTTGACTCTTCGTCCGATAGTGTCAAGGCCACGGTATGTTCATGGGACGAGTTCATTGCATGGCTGGAAATACCCGACGCTTTGAACGGATTGGAAGTGGAAGTCACGAAGCTTCAGAACGGAGATCTTAATGGAAACAATATGTCGAGATCTCGTCCAACTGCTACAAAGAGTCGGTCCATGTCTCGTCTTCGTGGAATGTTTCTCCGTCCGAAAGTGGCGGCGTGATATTAGACTTGATTGTGAAGCTGGTCTGAATGGATTCAGTTGATATGATTGATGATTGGGTTATGAATGGACGGTGAAATTGTCTGAAGATGAAAAATTTGTTTTGGAGTGGGGAAGAAGAAGGAGGATGGTTTGTTTTCTGTTCAAGTAGCATGAGTATTCTTTCCTGCGTTTTCCCAGCGTTATAACCAATGTGACAGCCATCAATCCATACTACCTTCATGATTGTGGACAACAGTTGCGAGATCTTTCAGTCAACCAAAGTTGTCAATTTGTAACCTCCCTTCTCCCGAAATCCAGACGCAGGGCAAGATTGAAAACTGCATGCACCAGACTTCAGGCTGTGATTGATGCCTGTATGTATGCGATGCGACAAGGTCTGGAGTCCTTTGTGGCTTCGTCCCAGCTAAGGAGTCGGGGATATGATTCGTAGTCAAGATTAAGAGGGGCTCGCTACGGCGTGGGGGCTGTTACCGCTGTTCGAACCTCAAGAGCTCGTGATATGTCAAGTTGTACATGCTGGGATGCCAACTTGCGGCGTCTCAAGTGTTGATCTGTCCAATGAACCCCTTGGAATCATAGGCTTTAGCCCCCCTGCAGGCATCTATTCCCATCTGCCTCGCCTCAGATATGTCCTATTATTATTGTGGCACTGCCCAAGTAGCGCCCACGTCCACGCCCACACCAACCCACCCCCCAGACACTCCAGCAATGTTTTTCAAGCTCTGACCGGTTTCAAAAAAGACCTTTCACCAAATGTTGGGAAACTCAGAACTCACCTAAGTTGGTGGAATCAACATAAAGAATGGATTTGCGATCCTACTTCCTTGGGACAAGCCGAGTCATTCCAGGCTGCCAACAAACCCCTTTTCACAGTCTGATGTGGTCTGCGTTAGGCTGAGGCGTACAAAGCCTGGGACGCTCGTCTAAGGCTGGCGATCTGGTGAAACCTTTTGGCTTGCACGGCTGGATCATTGCAGACGAGGCGGGCCCTCGATCCTCGATTCTCAACCCAGTCACTTGCTGCATAATTCGAGAGGATTCTGTGTGTGTCTTCTGGACTGATGAGTGATGGGCCTTGTGTCGAGAGTATAACTTGTTGCTACAGATGTTACCAATATTGAGGCCACTTCAAACAACACTCCCAAATCCACTCCGACCTCGACCCCGCTACTTGTTGGTTAGAGCGTTTTTCTTGTACAGCAGTCCTTTGCTCAAGACATCTCAAGGAATTATGGCGGACACTGTCGGAGAAGGCAGTACAGCTAAAAGAACAATCCAAGACGACGAGGGCGAGAATTTAGACCCAGGATCAACTTCTGCCAAAAGAGCTCGCACTTTCAAGCCTGGCGAATGGATCTTGCAGCAGGAGGTTTACCGAGCATGGGAGGCAGCAGCACGAACAACCAAGTCTTCGTCGAAGACACTCTGGGTCCATGGACCACCAGGGTCGGGCAAAAGCTTTCTCTCGAGAACGGTGGCTGATCGTTTACAAACTTCGCCGGACCAGCCCCCGATAGCTTCATATCTCTGCGAAGAAACGAGTTCTGCATCGAATATTGTGGAGTCCATCCTGGTCCAGTTGGCTCGTCATCCGCGGACGCCCCAGGCGGACAAAGACACGTTGTCTGACTCGATCAATACCTTGACCAAGCGAAATAATCACCACTTAACCCCGGCTGAGGCGGCTTGGGACGTGTTCACCTCAGCGGTGAATAACATCTCTGCCTGCCTGTTGGTTCTGGATGGGATTGACGAACTCAAACCTCAGCTGCTCAAAGAGAACGGCTTCAACTTTGCGAAGAATCTTCGAGAGCTTCAACAAAATCATAACGGTGTCGTCAAGCTCTTCCTCTCAAGCGAAGACGTCGTTGTCATCCATGATGCTTTCAAAGAAAGTCCAACGCTAGAGCTTACTTTAGGCAAGCTCAGCGATGACCTGGAAGTCTTCACAACTGACTTAGTGGACGGTCATTCCAATCTCATCCCTTACAAGAACGACATCGTAAAAGATTTAATCAAGCTCGCGAATTTCACCTCGATTCATATCGCTGTCCAATGCTTGTCTAATGAATCAACTGCCTCTGGAATCGAAGATCAGCTGAGCACCTTTCATTCTATTGACTTGAGAGGGATGTACGTCGAACTCTTTAACAAGCAGTATCCTACGCTGTCGTGGGCTGATAGGGAGTTACGCGATTCAATCCTTAGCTGGGTCGCAAATGCCATCCGACCTCTGTCTATCAGCGAACTCGCCAATTTCTGTTCGGTCTCCACCAATTCTTTCGTCCAGGATTTCGAAACTAAAGCTGTGCAAGTCTGCAGTCACCTTGTCAAGGTCGACGGCGAGCGCCTCGTGCCAGTACATCACAGTCTCTTGATCTTCTTAAGATCAAGAGACCGCGTTCCACTTTCAGGTCTACACAAAGTGCAGGGCGAAGCTGGCCATCTCTCTATGGCCATTGCATGCTTGCGATACCTCACTCATCCCAATTTCGCTGTTGCGGCCATGAACCCGGATCCCAACCTTGGCCTCGAGGCAAACAGCCCTGTCTTGGAGTATGCTGTCCTGTACTGGGTGTACCATGTGTCTCAGGCAGGAAAAGCATCTGCAGACCTTCGATCGCTGGTGATGGCGTTCTTTGCCAGTCCGGTGGCTTTCTTCTGGATCGATCGACTCCTGCCACAATTCTTATACCGCTCCGTCCTGCCAATCCCACCGCGCCCGAAACATGCCGCACGCTTCATGTATATTTTCAGTCTGAAATCGCAAATTGCAAAGCTGTTCCAGGACGAAAGCTCAAAAGAGGAACTAGATCGGATCTGGACGGAAGCCCTTCACCAAGGGTACGAGGATGCACTAACAAAGGCCAAAGCTGAATCCGGCGAAAAGCACGCCCAGGTAGTCGAGCGGACACTCGACCTGGCAGAAGTCTGTGACTGGCTCCCAGGATCACGCACTCGTTCAAGAAGGCTATTTCAAGAAGCATATAATCTTGCTATGGATCTCAATCTCTCTAAAGGGACTTCTCCAGCAGATGTGGCCCTTGGCCTAGCTACTTCACAGGCTTTCGCCGACTCAGAGAAACGAGCTGGCAAATACGCCCACGCACGAGACATCTTGAATACGCTTCTACCAGAAATTTCCGCACAGGCCATCACATCAGAGCGCGATACGATGCTGATGTATGCAGTGGATGGACTCGGATGGTCGTGCTTGAAACTTGGTATATTGGACGAAGCAGCTAGCCACCTCAAGGAAGCGCTGGAAATCGCAACAAAACTGCATGGCTCCACGTCATCACTCACTTTGCGTTCAAAGGTGACCCTGGCGGAAATCATGGTCGAATTGGGCCGCAGTGATGAAGCCATGGGCCTTTGTCAGCAGCTAATCCGGCAGCTTGAGGAATGGCAGCAGGGCGAGGGAATTCCAATGCCCAGCGACTCCATCAGCTATCTCAACACGCTTGCAAACGTGTACATGGCACAGCACAAGTTCGCAGAGGCGGCGCGAACTTTCTCCGCCGTAGTTAAGAATCGGTCGGAGACATTTGGCATCGATCATCCCATAACCTTGTGGGCGACGATGATGCTTGGACTCGCCATGGAAAAAGCGGATGCAGATTCCCGAGATGTATTGACCTTGTTCAATGATTTGATTCCTCGACAAGAGAAGGCCCTAGGTGCCCAGCATCCTGATGTTGACAGGAGCAGGAAGGCACTGGTCAGAGCCCAGACTATTGTCGCTTGAGTGTGGTATCATGGGCTGGTGCGCGATCTGCGGTCATGATAGCACATATTGTTGCCAGAAAAAAAAGTTAGTAGACAACAAGTTTGTTGAAAGAAGCGCCGTATTGGAATGAGATGGAATAAAGAATCGAACGCATTGCAGCAGCCATGGCGCAAGGCGGTCTTTTGCGATTCCTCTACAGCAATGGTTGGAAATGTCCACCAGGTGATTTACCTGGGCATCTCCAGCAGCTAAGAGCACCTGCTCAACCGAACTACGGTGTGCTGAAATGGGGCCCAGTTCATGATTCATCCAAATGGCCCTTCCAGGATTCGGCATAAAATAGAGCTTGCTCGGTAACAGCCTGAGTCATCTCTGGTCTGGCTCAATGATCACAAGGCTACCAAACCTCGGACTGCGTGCCAATGTCGGCTGGTCAGGCCCTGCGTGCATACATCCTTTGATCTCAAAGTCTCACGGCTGGTTTGTGAGGGTTGTCAGAGGATGAATGAGAGCACCAGTTGCTGCCGGGGTCTCATGGGCGAAAGGCCCAGTGATTGCCTCGGATATTATTTATCTTTACTCCAGCACTTTCTGGGCTTGACCAAAGTCAAGGATTGACAGGTCTGTCTTGGCTCAGCAGTTTTATACACCTTGAAATAAAGAAGGTCTCAGTCCAAGTGCTAGCCGCTTGACACGGAACGAAGGGGTGGCACCTCCTCCAATCTGTCGCTGTCGTCTGCCTCGGATGGCGGTGTCAACATGGCGGTATCCGGAATGGCCTCAACGGCAACAGAGTATTCGACTTTTGCCTTGTCGAGATGTTGGATGGTTCTCTTGTTCACGAAGCCAGGCTCTGGAGAATCCCAAGCATGATCGACCCATCGAGGGCCAATGACATCGCGGATGCCTCGAGCTAGGACACGGATGGTTTGCCGTCTCAACAAGGACCAGTCGTGGTCACTAACTGACTCCGAGGGAGTTATTGTTCCTAGTTCGGCGTCCAAATCATCGGCCAGGCCGTCAAGCACACTTCTCCAGATGCGAATGGTCTCGTCGAGCTCTTCGATCTTACTGACGCCGATGACGCTAACGCCAATTCTCTCGCGAGATTTGTATGTGGTTAAAGTAGAAGTGTGGTCAGAAGTGTTGTAAGGGCTCGCATATGTGCCTACACTAGCGCCATCACGAAGCCAGCTTTCGAGGGCAAATCGTACAGCGACCACTTCAAGCTTTTCGCCACGGGCATTTGCCCACGCACCAGCATCGATGCAGGCTTGTCGGAGATCGTCGGGAGCAGGGTGCCAATTGCCCATGGCACCGACCGAAGGGCCATTGCGTCTGAGGATGCCCATTCCAAGAGGGCTAGCATTGGTAACAACATCGACGCCAGAGTTGAGCAGGGGCTGGAGGCCATGAGACATAAGGCGTGTATTTTGAAGGGTGTAATTGGCATAGGATTGCACAATATCAATGGGCTCTCCAGTCTCACGCAGAATCATTTCAGCCAGCTGGCACAGGACATCGACTGGATAGCCTGAAATGCCGACATATTGCAAGGTGCCGTCTTGGTCCCGGATGCGACGCAGCTCCGTGACGGCAGTCAAAACTTCTTGGGGGGAAACGAACTCGCAATCATGGCAATAAACAACATCGAGATAAGTTGTTCGCAGGCGTTTGCAACTTCGCTGGACACTCTTTCGGATCCATTCTGGGGAATAGTCGAATTCATCGGCGGCGACTCGGCCAACCTTAGTCAGGATGTGATATGTCTGACGAGGAAAGTGAGTTCGTATGAAATCGGAGTCTAATGCGGCGCCAAGGATTTCCTCGGCTGGGCCGTAGTAAGGAGAGGTGTCAAAGGCATGAACACCGTTAACCAGGGCGCTTTGCACCAAGGCAGTGGTACTCAGAGCGTACGGATCGACATTATACTGGTCGAGAATGTCAGTTCCTGTCCAATTTTGGTGGAAATTCAGAGATTTGAAGTACCTGGTAGTTGAAGGTGGCGGTACCGAAAATCAGTGGCGGAAGAGAGTCTGAGAGGGGACGGGTTGGTCTGGGCATGGCTCTAGGTGTTGAATGGATTCAACTCTGGAAGGGTGGCAAGCCAGAAGAGATCAAGGAGAGAAGAGGGGAGGTGGTCGAGTCATAGATGGTGATGATGGAGATATATCTATTACAAAGCGATCTAGGAGGAAGCAGTTTGGCTTGGACGTGGATGCTAGCGGTGAAGAGGATGGACCCGAGGTTTCTTGCGGCAGATCTGACAGATTGTGACGGCGCAGTCGAAGCACAATTTTTGTCGGGAGAGAAAGGTAGATTGAAAGTGATGGAGTGACTGGATTGGAGACTTGGGACGGTGATGGTGGGGCGTACCTGCGCCTGCCTGCGCATGGGCCAGAAATCTACGGGAGCTAGATAAGAAGGAGCCCCAGAGTCAGGGATCCAGGGCAGGAGCGACCAAGCGGGAACGGAGGATGCAATGTACCACGGCATCTACGGCAGCAATCTGGCTGGGCAAAGAGCCAAAGAGCCAAAAAGAGTGACTGGATATGATTGATGAGTCGTCCTCGGCTCGTATATCTCTATGCAGGTTACAGACTACATGGTATGAATCAAGCGAGAGAGGGCGGATGAGAGGAATTGGTCAGGCCAAATTCACAGATTGAACCATGTGCATTTAGAGTTGTTGATGAACGACACACCGTTCTGCAGCCTGCAGAACCCCAAAGTGGCCGATGATGCACCGGATAAGAAAATACAAAAAGTTACGCGCGTTTATTTTGTGATTCTTTTTCAAGTACTTGCAGAAATGCCGAGTTGGCCTAGAGTTCGAGTCGTACGAGCGAGCCTGTGGCAGCCAACACCCGTTCAGCAGCCGCCTCGCTTATAATGCAAGCAAAAAAGAAGCAGGCATGGCAAGCCAACACAACACGAAGGGCAATGGGTAAGACAACGAGGGTTACGATGGTCAGAATGGAAAATGGCGCCACTTCAGATCCATGACGCGATTATGTTGAACTTCCGGCTTGGACATGCATGCAAGCAACAGGCCCTCGGCCCCATCAGCCCCCCAGGCCAGGCCGAGGGGGGTTTCTCTCAGTCCCCAAGCATCGAGTCCTCTAAGTACTGTGATTCGTTCGTTCATTAATATCTTACTTTTGCCTTTTGGTACTCTGTCCAGGTTATCAAATCCTCTGACATTATATTATTGCACCATGGTCGCCGCTTTTTGCGTACAAGGAGCCAGAACAATATTAGTACCTAGTATCGATTAGGTTTGCCATTCCAGTTTATTATTAGAGAATGCTGTAGCCAATGATTATTCCACCCCAGCCCCCTCTCCCTTTGATACTGCTTGGTGGCCGTGAGCGGCCTCGTCCTTTAGACGAAATCGTACTTGGTCTGTATACACACACGCTGTTGTCACATTTCTCCAACATATCCATCATTGGTGGTTGCAGCCGCCGCCGGCCATAGACAAGATCTGCCAAAGCAAACTATCAATGGTTCCAGGGCCAATTCCACCACCACGACTGTGACTCTTCTTTGGAGCTTGCTTCATCTCATCTTGTTCATGCGCATCACTCCCACCGTAGTGGTGATGGCATTGCCTCCTGCTGCCCTCTATATGTTTCTCCAAATGAGTGGAGATATAATTCAAAGGTTAACCCATTCGCTCTGGGCGTCAAGGCGTCTCTCATGACGAAAGGGTAGATCAAGAGTAACAACAACCCAGTTGTCCTTGTCATGGCATTCTCTTCCAATGACATGGCCTGCAACAACAATCTCTGGCTCTTTGACAACCCTATCCGCCTGCCAATAATAAATGTGTAATTTGGTCCACCTATTGTACAAGCTTCGAATTTAACAATCCCTTAAACGCCGGTCGCTATGCATCCATGCTTCAATCCAAGGCCTGCAAAATGGAAAGGTGGGATCGTGGATGGGAGATCAGAAGGTCTAGTGCAAAATGCCCAGGTTCGTCCAACGTGGTCACCGTCCTTGTCGACGGTCAGTAAAGGATTCTCAGTCCTTGTACATTTTGGGTTTCCAACCTTCTTTCAGTTCTTTTTCCAAAGCGGCCTTCCTCTCAGCCTCGCGAACTTCCATCTCGATGCGTTCACGAGCCCGCAGGATCTTGCTCTGAAGGTAGAAAGAACCGCCGCCGCCCTTTTTGGGCTCGTTCAGGTCATACAATTTTTTGAATCGTTCCATGACACTCTCCATGTTGGCGATACCTCCTTGAGGAGGCTTGACGTTGAGGATCTTGCAGGCTTCGTCGAGGGTCATGCCCGAAGCGGCTGCTGTGTTGGTTGCGCCGGGGGCGCCATTGGCGGCGGCTTTGGCATACTGTGACGAGGCTTGGGCTTGCTTGTAAGCTTCAGCAAAAGCTCGACCAAAGACACGGCCTCCTGTGAGGACAATCTGGGCGATGATTCGGTGCGCCTGTCAACGGTCAGAGATGTCGTGGGCAAGACTCGATGCAGACACTATATGTCAAAGGCCTTACCATGATTGTCCGCTCGAGGACAGGCACAACTAGTCAAAGGTGCCTGTGAGAGTGTAGAATAGTCACCTAGTCACCTAGTCACCGGTAGTTGTGCGGAATGCGCAGCTGTGATCTGTCGATGTTGTGACTTTGAGAGCAAAAGCTCAAATGATTTTTTGGACAGGCTCAGCAAGTTGCAGGCGGCGAAGTCGGACAATCGATGGTGCAAATCCCGACTTTGGCCATTGGGAAAAAGTGCGTAGTCACGTGTTGGATGTGGTCAGTGGAATGTACTCCGTACACGTGATTAGACCATGTGATCAAGATTGGCTGCCAGAAGCCGCGGCATCTTCGACGCACCCACCATCTGCAGGCTGCAGGCTACAGGCTACCGTTCACTACTCCGTACTACTCCCACACTGCCTAAGTTATGCCCTACGTACTAGCACTACGTACTACTACCGAGTATGTACCAACGTACTCCGTACTCCATTTGTCCCCCTCGTAACGCTCACTGTACTCCGTCAGCCTGCGTTGTGCACATGCCTCATCCTCATCTTGCACTCTGGTTCTATGCATCACAAAGCGTGTACAATTCAGACAATGACTTCCTCTCCTCTCTCTTCTCTTCTCCCTTCCAGTAACCTATCCCTTATCTCTCTGTCACAACTACACACATGTATAAATACCTTTTATTTCAACCCACCTTGTGTTGACCAACCCCATTCTTACTAACCTGTTTAACCTTCCGCGCCTCCCACGTCGTCATCACCGTGCTTCCGCTCGCTACACCAACCACATGACTCCAACAACCCAGTCTCATGTCTGTATTTGGTATGTGATGTTGCCTCATATTACCTGCTGTTATCTACCTACCTCTATCGCTCCTCATCGCTGACTCTCAAGACACGCCTTGGATGTCATCAATGTCCAAAGCAAGTACCCATCCATCCTCCACCGATCCTTCCAATTCCCAGCAGGCCTGGGATCCTAATCCTCCCACCTTCGCCGCCTTCTCTCCCACTTCATCCTCTGGATATTCTGCAACCTCTAAACAACGCTCTACCATCATTGTCCACAAGAAATCCCCCTTGCTGGTAGCCACTCCTCCTCAAATCACTCGAGCTCTAGCCCATTCACACCCTTTCCTACTGCCTCTCAACAAGTTGGTTGGATTGCTGTCATGGAGCACTCAAGATCCGTGGGAGTCATATCTCCTGGTCGCTGCTTTTTGGGCCATCACCCTCTATGGTAGTGAGGTCATTCGCTTCGCAACTCCAGTTTTGATTGTCCTCACTCTCATCTTGGGCATGTACGCTCGTCGATATTCTCCCTTGTCTTCCACTACGAAAACAGGCGAAAAGAGAACGTCCAACAGTGACAAGGCAGAATACTCATCCTCCTCTAAGCCTCACCACAAGACTTTGGATGAAATCGTCGATAATTTGCAAGAGTTTACAGCACGATGTAACATTCTCTTGGAACCCTTCCTCGCCTTAACCGACTTCTTGTCCACTCAGACCACCCCAACCGCTGCCACAACCCGTCCAGCTCTGACCACTCTTTTCATCCGCGTCATTCTAGTCACTCCAGTCTGGATCATTTTGACCCTTCCACCATTCTACATCTTAACCCCTCGAAGGGTTCTTCTTGCAGTAGGCACCATTATCCTGACATGGCACTCTAAACCCGCTCGTGTGTCACGAGTCATTCTTTGGCGGTCCGTCTTCATGCGCAAGTCGGCAGCATTTTTGACCGGTCTCAATCTTGACACTTCCAGCCCAAATCGAGACTCGTCCCTTCGACCTGGTCTTGGCTCAAGGCAGGCATCCCAAACCGGCCTTGCCCTCGAAATTGCCACCAAGAAAAGACCAGACTCGTCGGGTGTGCGATTCACCTTTATTCTATATGAAAACCAGCGTCGATGGCTGGGCCTGGGCTGGACTACCTCATTATTTGCTTACGAGAGGGGCCCCTGGTCAGATGAGCATCTCAATCCTGCTCCTTCCAAGGATGAATTTGAGCTGCCCTCGGTAGAAGGTGGCCATGCTCGTTGGAGGTGGGTAGACGGTTCGGTTTGGAAAGTGGAGCACGGAGACTCGAAACAACACAAGCGAGGTGCTAGTCAGGCCAAAACTAGTGCCACGGGTACTGCGGGCAAAGATGCAGATGGGGACGGAGGAGGTTGGATCTATTATGACAACAAGTGGACCGATGGAAGCAGAGAAGATGCCTGGGGAAAATACACCCGAAGACGGAAATGGTATCGAGATGCCGAACTAGTCGAAGCCACCCCCAGTCTTGAGCCCACTCCTAGTGGTACACCAACACAGCCACTGTCTGACACGGAAGAAGACAAAGTCAAGAAAGCAAAGGCATTTGCTCAAGGAGTCGGCACTTCCTCCAAATCCGTGACACCCGAGGTTTCCTCTGGGGACAAGACACCAGCTGAAGGGACAAAATCAACCGAGGACGGATCCGTCCAGACCAAGCCTAAAAAGGCTACCTGGTTCACATCCAATCGTGACCGGAGTGGTAGCAAAAGCAGCAGTGGGAAGAACACTGCTCAGTTCAGCAACACCAGTCAACGAAGTCGTGATGGACCGGAAGATGATGTCGTGGATCGCTGGCGGGAAAACTCCGAAAGGCATCGAGCATTTAGCGTTCAAGAGGATATTGTCATGAACATGGGCTAACGGATGGGATGGTTTTTATATTGTGGAATAATACAATATATGCGCTAATATTCTTTATTCTTTATTGCATTTATGCCATTGAAAAGAAAGTGACACATGTCATACTAATAGTAATTAGCTCGATCTCAACTAGAATGACAACTCTATGTCTACATATTAAATTCTCACATGCTGGACTTTCATTGTCAATCAAGCATTTCACATGGATCACATGGCGTAATACACATACGCTATCTACATGACAATTCTCACCTGGAACCAAGTGACGTTTGATCAGTGGCCATTCGTGCCCATCGAGTCCTCAATCCTTTACATACATATGATTGGAGAAATAAACCCTGACTCCAGATATGACTCGATGAATCTCCTCCAACAACCTTGAACCAAAACCACTTTACCTACGTAATCCCATCCCAGGGATACCGACTCCTCACCATGCAAGCTTGCAATAAGAACAATAAGTCAAGTGATCAGCCACATCCATCTGTTTTGTGGCACGGCAGGGTTCAAGTTACAAAACCCCCCGACCGTTGTGCCGTTAGAACCATGGTATAATCCCTGCCAACTTCAAAGGATTGGTCAGAACAGATTTCCCACTTGTCCTCACTGTCCTCACTGTCCCTCATTGTAAAGTATATACGGTGATACAGTACGTAAGTACTAGGGATCCAGAATTATGATGCCATTTGACAATTCTCGATCCCCATCCCCGCTCTCCTCCCACTCTTGCTTGTCCTTCTCATCCTGCTGATCTTGATCTTGATCTGCTTTACCGTTGAGTGGCTCATTCCCTCGTCTGAAGTACCTAAGCTGTGGCTGTGAATGTCATCAGAGGGCCTTGGGTATAACGTAAAATAGTGTAGAATATAAAGTCGTTGATCCTACAAGCCACACTTTCCCTCCCTCCCTCTCCATAGCAAATCCTATATCTTTTATTCTCAGGGCAAGATACTATATTCACACACAGACACACAGACACATACATATACTCAACATGTCTGGTGAAGAACAAAAGAAACAAGGTGGTATGTCTATCTCCTTCTCCTTCTCCTTCACCATCACTTACTCCCATAAGATTCCATTATTCCACCCTTTCCTTTTTGTACATAGGTGCTAACTATCATTCGAGGTCTAGGAGGTATTCTCGGCGGTGTCACCGACACAGTCGGAAACACCGTAGGTGGGATCACAGTGAGTACTTACCTACTACCCCACCTCATATATAACTTCCTCCATGACATCAATATCTAACTAATCCTTCAAACCAGGACACCGTTGGAAATACAGTTGGCACTGTTGGAAAAGGCGTCGGTGATACGGTTGGAGGAGCCTCGAAAGGGGTAAGTCAATTCCCTTCAAGTTGATTCAAGTTATATCCCTTCCTCTTCGTGACTAACCTTCTCCGTCTTTTAGCTCGGCGATACCACGAAATCAGTGGGTGACACTGCTAAAGGGACGACCGATTCGATCGGTGGCAAGAAGCAAGATGCGAATAACCCTTTGGGATTGTAATGGCTGGAGATAGGTGGAGAAAATTGCATGCTACAATATGTGGAATGGATGGATCTTTTTAGGAGGAACCAAAAAGACATAATGGAAAACGGGACATCATATCGAATAGTCTTGGATAGCAGAATCGCACTTCGGTTCATTCTTGTTCAGACCATGATTCTTATGTATCTGTCAATTTGATGTAATGCATGAGAAGTGTAGTCTCATACAGGCAAAAGTCGATTGCTCAACATGTAAATGTCATGGCCATCACTGAATATATACGTCGTTCCATGCCAATCAAGCAGAAACAACAAAACCAAACTCAACCATATCAAATCGCCCCGCGCCAATGCTACATGTATAAACCCCAGTGCCATGTCATGTCATGTCATGGACCCTTAGTGGTCTTGTCCTGCCCATAAGTACAAGTCCACCTGCTCATATATTCATTCTGACGCCGTACCAGCTCGTCCTGCCAAGTTTATAGCTCTGGCACATAAGCCTCATACTCGTCCAGACAGATCAAGCCAAAGAAGGCAGGGTGTTTGCATTTTTTATACTTCTTCCCACCGTGGTGTGACTTTGTGGTCGAGACAGACGAGGTGGCCTCACTCAGGCTTGCACTCTGCGTCGGTCGAGGCACTGTTGTGATAGATGCACTCTTGGAACCGATTGGGCCTCCATTAGATGAACTTGGGTGCTTTCGATCGCGACAGCCGAAGAAAAGTCCCGGAGTTTCACATGTGTATGGCTCTGAGGTCATGGACGCTTTGGTGTGCGACTGAGTTGGAGACGGAGTTGGAGTAGGATGACTGGCGGTTGGATCGCGACAGCCAAACCATCCTGGATGCTGGCAGGTTGACGTGGACGATGGTGGGTGAAGTGGGCTGGAGCCGTGAACCGTGGTCGTGGGAATGTCCGATGTAGGGGCAGCTGTTGTGGTGGTGACGGTGACATTGACTTCTTCGTTACAACCGAACCAGCCTGGCGTGGCACAAGAGGTGGTTGTGTAGGTGGTGGTGACCACTGGAATAGAAGAGGTGGTGGTCTCGTCGAGACAACCCCACCAACCAGGGGTCTTGCAGGTGGTCGTTCTCGTTCTTGTCATGGATGACGTGGTGGTTGTCGTCGTGGTCGAGTCCGATCCATTGCTTTCGAAATACTTCCAATTGAAACAATCGATACATTCATCGTCGACTGTACATTGCGGCACTGTGTCGTATTTTTTCAAGACGTTCTCAATCACATTGAGGATTTTGTGATTTCCAATTCCCACACGCCAGCCATAATCATTGACCGTGTCATAGACACATTGCTTGCCAGTGTGGCATTGCGACTCCATGGCGTACCCACCCAGGGTGCATGTTGCTGTAGCACCATTACATGTTCCCATGAAGACAGGATCAGCAGTATGGCCAATGTGATAGGCACCAGTGTATCTGGTCCGTGGTTTATGTGGGTCGGCCGACGGAGGAGCGGGTAAGCCGAGGCGTTTGGCAGCAAGGTCTTCTCCTGGAGCTTCGAAGGTGACGGTGGGAATTCCAAAGGTGAGACCTAGGAGGCTAGTGACTGCACCACCCAATGAGTGGCCAACAAGCCAAACGTTGGAGTCGGCGTAGATCTCCGTAACGTTGGTGTAGAGATCAATGGCCGCCCGGTAGTATCTGTTTTCATTTCGCAAAGCCTTGATGAGGCATGTCTGGTTGCATGTGTATGTGGAAGAGTAACAATCGCAGACCTGGCGCCAAAAGTACTGACCGCCCTGGGCACAACAACAGCTGAAGAACAAGTTGTCATTGAGTTTGTCCTTTGTGGTTGTGCCGTCCCCATCAAAAACTGCTGGGGAGGTGCCCTTCAGGCTGATGATGACAGTGTTGTTGGCCTGGTCGGCAAAGATATATCCACGCAAACCATCTCCTTGCCAACCAAAACTTGCAGATCGATTGTAGCCTTGAGAGACATCCTGCCAATCACCTTTGCCGGGAACATCGGCGTATGCGTTGGCGGCCATTATGGCTAAATTAACAACAGTGTCTTTGTCTGAAATGTTGGGCCCTTTGATCTCGTCCAACGTCCATGCTGAGGCGTCAAGCACGGCAGGTCTGCCAAAATAGCGGGCATGTTGTAAATGATTCTCAATGGCTTCTGGGTCCCTGTCGACGAGTCGTTCGATCTCTATTGAATGTGATTTTGCGGATAGACGTGGGGGTGGTTCAACAGTGGGAGGAGATGAGTCGTCTTGGGCGGAGAGAAGAAGGTCATCGGTGGGCTTTAAGTCGAGTCTCTTGTGTAAATGGGGATCTTGGTAGGTTCCTCGATGGAATATGTGTCTTAATGTAAAATCGTGAGAATCCGGCTCTCTGGGTGCCGGAACAGGATACCATGGATCGATGGCGGGGGCGGTGGCGGCGGATGCTGATGAGGATAGAGCAAGGACTGAAAGCAGAACACCAGCCGTGATCCTACTGACAGAGTGACATTTTGACTCTCGTGCTTTCCGGGTCTTCATTGTGTTCAATATGGTTGAGTATAGGGATGGTGAAGGGAGTCCTGAAGAGAGATGATGGATGGATGAATGTGATGGAATGACTGACTTGTTGTCTGCGGTGGGAGTCGAGGTTGAACCGGCACGGCAAGGAACAATAGGCATAACGGGCACAACAGGCAGGACCGCAGGTCATCAGGACGCTAGAAGTGAATTGATTGGGCAGTGGATGCTGGGTGGGTCTTGTCTCTTGGCGGTGACAATAAGTGGACATGTTGACGTCGTTGGGGCGATAGACGATAGAACTAGACAGTCTAGACATTCTAGGCCTTGAGATGCCTGAGAAGTCATTCGTGGGGGGAAAGGCTTAGGGGAGACTACCCCTCTAATAGGCACCATAGGCCCCAACACAGCACCGAAAGACCGATTGGCTACTGCCTACAATCGGCCACGTCTACCCAATTGACCCCCGTGACCCCTAGACTCGGGTGCCTTCCCTTCCCCTCAATAAACCAATCACATGTCATCCTCAGGCTTGTTTCACCATCTTTGCCTCACCGGGTTGTCGGACTGCGTGTCATCCTCGAGTCAAACCAACGCAGACACATCAATCCAGTACAGTAAACACCTGCAGTTGTCTCCATCACGCACCCGTCCTCGCCTGACACGGATGACGCGGATTCCAAGAAACCATACACACCTTTCACTGACTGTATTTTTGATGTTCATGTTCAAGTTCTCATTTCACACTCACCACCCATTCCACCAGCCTGTCCTCAGTCGTTGTTGATAGAGGTCTACCAGGTCCCAGACAGACAGATCATGATGCCGCACGGATACCCTGGTCCGTAAATGTCACGTCAGCTCTTTGACTGTGTCCTCAATCCATCTGGCTTTTCCACCAGATTGCTAGAGCATCTCCCTTCACATCCAAACTCCCATGTCTACCACCGGCTCAGTGAGGTCAAGACCTCTACCTCTATCCTCCAAGTCATTCGCCCGCTATGAACCCGCAAGTCCCGTCACATCACCTCCTCGAAGTAGAGCCAGCACAATATCTACTCTGACTCCTCTCAAATCCCCTACCACAACTCACTCAGATCAAGATGATGTCTTTGAGAAGCCCGTCCCAGAAGGGAGTGAGCCTCCCTCTCCCACCCTCGGCCGCTCTCACACCTTACCCGACCGCTTCGACGAATTACCCATCGAACTTGTCAGTCTGACTGATCGTTTTGTCGATGCTCTGCAGACGAAGACATATCCTGAGCCTCTGAAGATTGATCAATTGTCTGATCTGTTTCAAGAGTTCTATGTTCGGGCTTCCAGTGCAATCGCCATCCATATATCAGCCCTCAGGTCTCGTCTTAACCGGGACCCTTCTCCCGCTCCTTCCAAGGCGTCCGCCAGGTCCAGAACTATTCCTTCAAAGCCGTCCCACGACTCACTCCGACCTCGTGATGCCACCTCAAACGCCCAGCAGATGCTTACAGCGTCTGAAGTCACGGAAAAGCGGAAGCAAAGGAAACTACTCGAATATAAGCGTATAGTTCTCGAGGAGGCTGTCGAGAAGAGAGTCTGTGAGAAGATATACGACAAACTATGGAGACATAAAAGCACCTTGGACGAAGTTCGTGACGAGAAACTCCGTTCCAAAACTGCTGCGTTGGCACTCGTTGGTATTGGCTTGAAAGATCTGGGCATCGATATTGGACCGGACGCCGAAAAGACCACTGAAGATCTTCAGGCTTCGCTAGAACCCGCCAGAGAAGGTCTCGCCAAAATGAATGAAGAAAAGTCTCCGCTTGGGAAGCTACAACACCTCACTGCTGCCCACAAAGCCATCGTCGACACATTATACACTATATACCCATCCTCTTCCTCAGCCGACGAGATTCTTCCAACTCTTATCTACACCCTCATCACCTCCCCCGTTGAGGGCATTAACATCATCAGCAACTTGTATTTTATCCAGAGATTTCGAGCTGCGACACGAGTCGATGGAGAGGCAGCATACTGCCTAACCAACTTAGAAGCTGCCATCAGCTTCCTCGAAAATGTCGACCTCGCAAGTCTACGTGCGGACGAACATCCCGAAGGACCCAGAAAACTTTCCACCACAGATCAAGACCAGTCCGAAAAACTAGAAGCATTCCCGTCCCTCCCCATCTCAGCCTCACAGCCGGCCACCCCCACAACTGCGACGACAAACACCAACGCGACCGGCTCCCATGTCGAGTCTAGTCCCTCGGGATCCGTGTTGAAACCATTACCAGAGAAATCAGCTCCACCGACTACTCGCCATCAGAGAACATTATCCGATATCCTCCACCCAATCACCACCGCCAACAAAGCAGTCCAATCTACCGCAGAAGAAGGATTCAAAAACATATCCAGCACATTAGACAACAGCTTCAAATTCCTCATGGGCAAGCTCAAAGAGCGAGGAAGCGAAGATTCCAGCGCCGAAGTCATCGTCCCCAAAACCCTAGATGAAGCGCGACAATTAGTGAGCAGACCACTCACACCCGACGAGGACGACCCTGCTCTCAGCGAATCAAGCTCTCTCCACGACGGAACCAACACACCCACCACCTCCAACCTAACAAGAACGGAAGACCGGATTCTCAGTTTACTCGGCGGACGAAAACCCGGTACCGTACGAGACCGAAGCGCCGATAGCGTGCAAAGCAACGGCAGTGGACGACGATCAACCCTCCATCAAACCACATCCGTTTCCTCCGGAGACATCACTTCTACCAACACCAACACAAAATCTTCTGGCGCAACACCAATGATCGCCACCCCACAATCCGCCAGCACCAACCCTCTCGACACAGTCAAGAACTTTGGCGGTAGTCTCAACCCCATCAATCACATTGGCTCAGCATTCGGCGGAGCGTTTGGCCGATTTGGAAGTCGAGCGAGTGCTTCAGCATCTCCACCAACTCCCAACCCCCTGGTCGTGATCGACAAAGAACGGAAAACCAGTACTAGTGCATCATCACCCGATAAATCTCCCTACAAGAACATCCCCAAAGCAGGTCCTGGTGAATCCGATTCGACCGCGAACCAAAACCTCCATCCGCTACGATTACCTAAGAAAGACGAACTTGAAGTCATCAAAGCCGCACCACCGATTTCACGATTCATGACGTCGGATTCAGCGGCAGAACTGAAAATTGGTGATGTTCAGGATTTGTTGGATGATTATCAACGCTTGGCTCGTGTGTTGGGCCAGTTGATACAAAGGGCAAGTACCAACACAAGTACGGTTCAAGATGTGGATGAGAATAGTGATCAGGCGTCGGACAAGTGATGAAGTTATGAAACGGGTAGGAGGAGAGCAGGCTTACCTCGGATTTTGAAAGGTGGGGGAAAGCAAAGAGGATTGAGCGATTGGTCACCATGGTGTTATACAATAAGTCACCAGTCGATGTCAACACTCGAGAGGACATTAGGAGATCATATCCCAGTGAGTGTCGAATGAACAAAAGCCATGTTGAAGAAAAGATGGATAGATTAGACAGACATGGCTGCAATCTCATTACGATTCGTTTATACCCGCTCGAACATCGAGCATGAATAACATCATCTACGTTTTCCCCTTTTCCGGACCAGTAGTCGTACATTTCATCAATTCCAACAACAGTCGTAACATCATAGACAGACAAAATCCATACTGGAGATAGACACCAACTGAAGACAATCGACTCGAAAGCACCTCGAGAGAATCAACGGGCTGGCTCAACGACTTGGCTTGGTCCTACCAGCAATCAGGGTTGTGCCGCCCTTCTTCAGTCCCTCGAGCTCCTCGTCCACATCGGCGATCTTGGTTCGCACCCGACGGTCGCGCCGCTTGACTTCCATTTCAAACCGGAGCGCAACTTTCCTTCTCTCGACCCGGACGCGCATCAACCTTTGCATTTCATCACGTATTCGCTCAAGGAACCATCCGGCCGTGGCTTCGCGGTCTACATCGCTCTGCGACCGGAAGAGTGCTGTCTGGTCCTGTACCTGCATCTTGGTCAGATTTTGCAGCTTGGCCGACAATGACATGGAGTTTCCATGAGCGTCTACTGCAGGGGGTGCCTCTTCCACGGTTGGGTCTAACCAGAATGGAATTCTGTCAAGGTCATCAAAACTCTTTTGAGCAAGTGTGGAAGGCGAGAAGTCGATGCCAAGGTCGTGTGGTCGTTTTGTGCCTCGCGGAGATGGCGCCAGCCCAGAAGTCGGGCCATATTGTAACTTGTCTGGCGGGGCCCTCCCTTGATCTTCCTCAGATGACGATTCCTCAGGATAAGACGATACCTTGGACGACATGTCTTGACGTGGTGGTTGCGGTGCCAGAAATGCAGTGGCTTCACTCTCCACCGTCTGGACAACGTGATCTCGGCGATCTTTGAAGCGATGGTTGACATTGCTAGGGTCATGATTCGGATTTCCGAGCGAAATCTCAAGCACAGGGTCATGTCGTAAGTCCTTGAGTGAAGGAAGAGGTGGACTGGTTGCTTCGTTCGTTTGGTTCAAGTTTGTCGATTTCTTGAGGAGGGGGCCAGCCTGCGGGTCAAAGGCAGGCTGTAGCCGAGATGGAGTGTCAATCCACTGAGGCCGTTCTTGTGGATACTCATCTTCTTCGTCGTCATCGTCGAAACTGAAGGTTTCATTACCAGCATAGCTGTCGCCGGGCTCGTTCGCATTGTGAAAAGCACCATATTTAGGCTCTTTGCCTTGCAACTTCCTCTCGCGGTCGACAGCGGCCATCCAATCATTATTGCCAAAATTGCCTAATTCAGGCTGTCGAAAGTCTTTGGGAGGACGAGGTTGCCGAGTGAAGGTCCAGGGACAGTGTGAAGATCGGGCAAGAGGCTCATGCGGTTGGTTTGGCTCATTGGAATGATCCAGCATGCCCCCCGCAACATACTCGTTGTTGGTGAAGCTGTCAGTGTCATCCATATGAATACTTGTCAAGGTATCGTCAAGGACTGAGGTACGAGGCTTGTGAATTGTCAGTGAGAGATATCATACTGCCCCAAGGGAGACGGAACCTTGTGATGCGGAGGGGCTGTGTGTTTGACCGTCACATCTTGTTGTCTCGACCCGAAAGATGGCTGAGCCTGTGGTATATGGGAAGCACTCTTACTAAAGGTGTCCTTTATGGGAATCTTGAGGGTGGATGGGTCGAGAGGAGGGTTATCAATTTGGGCAACGCCATTGTGACTGTTGCTGCGATTGTGACGGCTATTCAGTCCTGAAAGAGGACGATCTCGACCACGAGTTTGAAGGAGAGAAGGCTGCGGTGTAGAGGACCTATTTGCCAATTTCCCTTGTTCGTTGGCAGTGTTAGCAGACGACTGCTTTTGGTTTTGCTTGAGAGTCGAGTTTAAGGGCATGATGGTGGAATGGTGTTTAGCATCTGGAGGCCGCCCTGAGTGCGAATGTCAGGGTTCCTAGAAGTTCATCGGTGGAGTTGAAGAAAGGTCATGCGTGTCTATACCGGATGACGGGTCTTGCATACAACGATTGAAGACCGTGGAGGTAGAGACACCGTGGCGGTGAATTGTTACCGTGGGAAATGGATGATCGCATATGGTGCGAAAGTTGATGTCAGAAGAGGCAGCCACGATGGATGTCATGTCACGTTTTCCAAGACGCGGGCGCGACACGTGATCACGTGCATCCAAGGGCTCTATATGGAAAGTATTAAACGAGGGCACTTGCTCCGTGCCTTTGACCAGTTCTATTTGCAACTATGCATGATGATCTATATGAGCATCGAATAGAACAATAGTTCAAACAATGTATCATATTTCTACATTGTTACCAAGGGTGGTGAATGTCAGATGTATGCCTCGCCATAGACGACTACACAGGCCTCCTCACCACCTTGCCTCGATGGTCAAAATGAATTCAAGAATCGATTCAAAAAGATAAAGAAAGAGTTCATCTCAACGCTCGGTACGCTTAATCCCAGCAGTCGAGGTATCATAAGAGGTCATACAAGACCATCATTGGAACGTAGATCCTAAGAGGACCCAGTCACGGAGCCAGCCCCTGAGCCTGTTGCTGAACCAGAGCCTGAGCCCGAACCTGATTGCTCTTGACCAGAGCTTGATGTGGTCCCAGCCCCAGATCTCGAACCACTCGAGGACTTGGTCGTTCTCTTTCGGCCGCCGTATTGATCCTGTCCATCTTCAGGATTTTCCCCCGGGCCACCAAACGCATCGCCATGACCTCTTCTCTTCGGTCGTCTCCAGGCGGGCATTGTGGTGGACCGTTTCCAGAGAACCTCATCATCACTACTACCTAGCTCGTCTTCCTTCCTAGGCATTCGAACTGGCTCATCCATGCCATCGAAGGGCCGGTGGGCACTGCCAGAGAAGCCATTGTAGAGGTCGTAAGGGTCCGCATCTGCTTTGGGGTCCCAGATCGGGAGACCTCCCGGCGGCTGTGACTCTCCGACAGGACTACCACTCGCATAGTCGACCAGAGAACCGTTAATACCTGTGAGAGACCAGGCAAAGACTGCGACATCTCTGATGGCAGCCATGAAGCCAGATTCCACGGAGCTGGTGTCTGTGGACGAGGCCAAGGATTCCACCGCGTCTTGTGGCACACCAGATGGTAGGACTGGCTGTGGAGCCCATGGTGAGGCGAAGAGACCATTGGTATAATAATCTGCCTCTGTGACACCGAGTGTGGGCGGCACGAGTGGCTTAGCACGGCGGAGGATGACGACTAATCCGTCTGAGCTGCACGAAACGACAGCCTCGAGTTCCAGGCCTCTCTCAGAAGAGTCATCTCGCGGGGTGGAAGAGGAAGACGAGGCCGCTCGTTCCGGTGGGTCGAAGATGGCATCGGCGGCACCAGGACCTAGATCGGTACTGTTTCCAGAGGATGATCTGTGAATGAGATCGGTTGCTTCAGAGGGCGGTTGAAGGAGGTCGCCATCAGTCGACGAATGACTGGCTGATTGCGGGTGAGGATCTTGGCTTTGATTTGAGGTAGCGTTTGGTCCAGAGGACGGGGTAGATGCGTTGTTGGAGGGCCGAGATGTTGGAGCATCGGTCATGGACACTGACGAGCCAGACCTGGGTCCATTTCCCAGAGCGACACCACCGTCGTCATCCTCGTCGCTGGTATCCTCAGGCAAGCCGACCTCGGGGCCATTGCCATGATCCTGCAAAGGGTTGCGATATCGAAACCTCAAGTATGCGATTGAGTCGTTGGCTTTGGCACTTTCGAGGGTTTTGACAGCATCAGGAAGGCAATTTTCTGTAATGCAGTAGTAGAAACTTCTACCGATGAGGTCATCAGGGGCCAGGCCTAGAATGCTGGAGACGCCATCGGTCGCGTGCATGACGGTCGAGGTGCGTGTAAAGCGATTGAGGAACAAAGCTGCCCTGGGTTCATTCTGGAGATCTGGTGACTGTTGAGTGAACTTGTTGGAGAGATAGGACAACATGTGATAACGGGGATCACGAGGAGACGAGGAGAAGATGCGCCGGACCGCCCCACTGGCCAATTCGCGCTCTATAAAGAATCAGTGAGGAAGGATTGGTGGGCACAGTAGACGGCAATGCTCACGTTTTGCCTTGGGTCCTTGACGATAAATACTGGTGCTGGCGACCAAAACGTCGTGAACGACGGTGAAGACACACTCACATCCGATCCAAGAGCCATCCTTGTGCTGGACACGACAGTAGCTAAGGACTGATGCCTTATCGAGGCTGACACCTCGACCGTGAACTTCACGGGCAAATGGGATCTCCTCGGGATGGAAATAGTCCCAGCATGATTTTCCAAGCACCTCGTGTGGAAGATAGCCAAGGATATCCTCTATGGACTCGGAGCAATACCTGATTCGAGCCTCCTCGGACAGATCTAGGGTGCTGTTAGTGGGGGCTTTGATACAAGCGGTCAAGAATGAGCTGAGCACAGCAATATAGCATACCTAAAATGGTGATGAAGACAGTTTCCATGGTATTTAGAGATGGGGAAGATGGATCAAGGGCCAATAGCCGTTGATGTGCCGAGCAGCCCTAAAAGACGCTGGACTTCTGAAGACAAAACCGAATGAGCTTGGTGATGGTTCATATAGAAAAGAGATGCTGGCTCACGTACCCCAGACCCCTTGAGGTCTCGTTGACCGTTGAGGAGATGAACCAATGGGGTTTAGGATGGTAGTGCAAAAGCAGTGCAAGTTGTGTGACGACAAGGATTGACGTCGTGCGGATACGGAACTCAGGTCAGGGTATCCTGCTAGAGGATGCAAGCGTATCTGCAAGTGGCGACCAGGTCAGATGCGTCTGCGTCTGCGTATGCGTATGCGTAGGCGCCTCGTCAAGAGGGTGGAGGGCAGATCATGTCCAGTGAGAGCGCAATTCAAGGACCCTAGTGCCACGCAGCTCGCTAAACCAGCAACATCCACAAAGGCTGCAAGAGATGGTATCGAGATCTGTCGCTTGATCTACGAGGCTCGAACCGGAAAGCCGAGATTTGATATAGTGCCACTAAGCTGTGATAAACGAGACGCCTAGAGCCCGAGGTGGAGGTGTGCAATGTTCAAGAAGATATGAGATGCGGATGCACACGAGGTCAAACAAGCCAGTCAAAACTGTTTACCAAAGGCCAGAGAATTGAAAGCTCAGTTGATGAAGCTCGGCATGAATGATTAACAAAGACCCAAGATGAGAATTTGAGGTGGAGTGGAAAAATCGCCACCCACGTCGGATCCAACATTGAACAGGGACAAGGAGGAAGCCGGGTTCTTGGCCCGTCGTGCTCATCCATGTCTAATAATTGTGAACTTGTTAAAGCCCAAACCTTGTAGTTAAGAGGGACATGAGGCTATGCTTCTCGTCGCCCGGCCTGAGTAGCGCGGCATATCTTTACTGGGGTCTGGGATCATCCTTCTCGTTGCCTTGATTGGGGGCATGGCCTGGACTCTGATGGGTGGGGAGGCACATAATGGAGGGAGTTAAGAGAGGGGGCAGAGGGGCAGAGGGGCAGAGAGAGAGAGAGCATTCCATACGAGCATTGAGTACCAATCGTCGTGGCTACAGAGAGCAAGTTTTGGTGGTTTAGGCGTCTCTGGGTACTTGTACATAAGGCACGAGCTCTTGAAAATGCAGCTGCTCAGGCACACATGGATGCCTCCTAACGGGTTATTTAGTGACCATAGGTTACAGGCGAGGAACCTTAGGTACCTACTAGGTAGCCATTAATAAGTGCTGTGACACTGGACCAGGAACCTCAATAGGAACATTCGCCAAAGATCATCAGCAACAACACTACACATTTGCTTCAATCACAAGTCATGCATCCCTCCATGTGAGTAGCCATCTTCGGATCCATCTATGAGGTTTTCTGTATTATCTTCTTCCATTATGTCTTGGTCCCATGACGCAGGCCAAGTCCAAGGGGCCGTGGCGCCCGAGGCCGGCTAAGGAACAGTCCTCAGGCTGCTTTCTCCTTCTCAAGGCACGGCAGAGAAATGGAAAGCTGCCAGCACGCCCCATAGATGCCTCCATAGGCACTTCGGCCTTAACACCGTCGCAGTGACAGGAACCATGACTTCAATGTCCCAAGGGGCTAGGAGCGCCTCAGTGCCCCATATCCCTCTCTCGTCTCCCCACAGGTGCTCGGATAGCAACCACTAAGAAGCCTGTCGCCCCCCCTTACAGATCTCGATCGCTCTATAACCCTTGCCTATTCCGCCTAATTGACTTGCCGAACCCCTCAGCCGCGGGCGCTTGCTAACTGGAGCCCACTCTTCGCCCATCTGGTCCTGGATGGAGCAGGATGATCATGGTTGTTCGCCAACAATTCCATACGTTTCTCTAGATCACAGCCTACTCTGAGAACACGCAATAACCGCAAAATAGTTCCAATTTTGCTTGCGCACAGGATTTGTCTCCCTCCCGGCCAGCGTGCAACATGACTCGTCAATCGTCGGTGTGCGGGTTGCTGCCAGCCCTTGATCACCAACGTCGTCGATTCAAGGGACAACAAATGTCACCTCCAAACACGTGGTAACAGAACGACCAGAGTCAGCCTGTGCATGTTCCAAAGTTGTCTTGAGCAACGACCTGTCCGTTGTGGCAGCTGTCAATGTTCGGATCATTCCACCTGCCAAATGCTTTGTCGTTGCTAGCCCACGTCCTCTTTAGCCCATCACCATTTCATGCATTCTTAGGGTCTGTTCGTGCACGTTCATCATCAGATTTCCAGTCTCATTCACCACCGCTCAACCTCAGTCTCATGCGTCTAGCCACCGTGCCTGGCATCTGCTTCCCAAGCCTGCCTGTCGAGTTCTCGTGGCACAGTGCGTCGGCCTCTGCATGGCCTGGCCATCCTTTCCATTCAAGCTACACGGCATGAAGCCAACGTGCAATAGATGCCGAGCCTGAGTTGTCTCCAGTGCCCTACACATGCGGCCAAAGAGCGGTGATGATCTCGTGCTTCCATTGGCGCAAGGACCCTCTCAATGCTGGTCCATACTCTCCGACTCTGCCCTGATCTCGTGCCTTCGTTAAAAGCCCAACGGGGCAATCTTTCCCATGCACTGTTCAAAGGGCAGGGAATGCTTCCAACAGCGGTGTCCTGGCGCAATATCCGAACTTCAACCAAATTCAAGGATGGCCGTCGTCACTCCCAGGCATCCCCGAACGATGGCGTTTTTTAGTGTCTGGGAGTACTTCTTAGTCCCGCACTTTCATTTTGATCGTCGATGACCTGCATTAGTTGCCGAGCCGCCGAAAATCCTGCGCAGATTGATTGCCCAGACTCGCCATCCTTGTTCTCAACCGGAGATAGCCTGGAACCTATCTTGTCCAAGTCCGAGAGCAACGTACTGTGGCTGATAGAGTTTGTACCCTTCCAAATACTGTGATGTCCAGGGACGCTCTAATGGTACAGCAAAGCCTGATACCTTTATAGATTGCTGCAGCATGGCTTTCGTATTTGGCTGGGGCCTCATGCAAGCGCCTCGGGCAAATAGCATTCCAAGTTCAAGGATGCTGTCTATCCTGTAATACTCCCACATGAGTGAAAGTGCTCTTGGTGCATTTGCATCTTTCAACCGTTGCTTGCTCTTCTGTGTACTTTCAAGTCACATGGCCTGTTTGGCTGTCTCGCGTCTTGTAGTCGCCGAACGAAACATTTCTTCCTAGATGGGACATTCGACATAGTCGACAAACAATTCACACAGCAGTGCAACAGCAGAGGAATATGCCCGTTGCATGTCAGCCCTTGATGCCGGAAGCACTAACGTTTGGTGACGTTGCCAAATCCGAGATTAGAGCTCATGCTGTGTGACCGATAAATTTGCGCCTGGTTCCCGGCGGTTCGAGGACCGGTCCATCACTTATGGCACCAGTCATCACGCTGGCCACGTTGTGTCCATTTCGCCAGCGCGAAATTGATCAAAGATTGGGCAAATTGACAGAGTGCTTGAACTTTTTTGAAAGTAGGTCGGGGCCGAGGCTGCATTGCAGGCATGAAACCACCTCGCTACGACATCGCTTCCACAACAATTCGAGCAGTGGTGGAGTGTACGAGCTGGCACATGCAGCATCTAGCCCCAATACTCACAGCGCGTTCTTTGCCGTAGTCCTCCTATTCCCTTAGGGGACCCTTAGAATTCTTCAGCCGCACTAGATTCTCCCACTGAAGGAGAAATCACAGCTTTCTCTGCAGCGTAAGGCCCATGGTTAGCAACATGTCGTCAGGATCAAATACACCGCAATCAGGCTGCACCGCGCCGTCACGGCGACAACTGTCAGACATACCTTGACAAGTCCTTTGAAGAAATCAAAACTATTTGCATCGCTCTGGAGCGTCCATCGTTTACCCGTCTCTCGATCCTCCCAACCCAATTCATCGGCGATCAAGAGCCCATAGTCTCGCGTGATGCCCTTGATGCGTGCTCGTTGCCCACCTTCAGCCTCCAAAGTCACAATTTGATCCATATGGAGCCAGTGAGCGTAGTACATTCTCTCTAGTTCTGCGTCGAATCCGGTCTCGAGGAAGCGGCTGTACAGCGAGTCGAATGTTGTGAGAATCCTAGCCAATAATTTTTCCAAAGTCAATGGGGCCACCTCTCGAGGCAAGGACTGAATGAGCTGATTCAGCGATGTGGTGGGGGCAGCATTAGAGGTATTGATGCCTATCCCACACACTGCAATGTATTCCTTGGTGTTGTAGTGGCTATTGACTAGAATTCCGCCAATCTTGGTGTAATTCTCATGGCGGTCCCCACCATTGTCGCGAGCTTTCACGGGGTCTAGGGCATAAATATCGTTGGGCCACTTGAGTTTGACGGGCATATCCTTGTAAAGGTTGCCCTCGTAGGATTTAATACCATTGACAATTGCAATGGCGGCCAGGTACTGGACGAAGACAACCGGTGCCGCCTGCATCCGAGCCATTGGATGGCGAATGACTGTGCTGAACATCAGACTACCAGCTGGCGACACCCAAACATTTGAACCCCTGCCTCGGCCCGCCACCTGGACAGTTGCTGTTGCTGTGAAACCCTGTGGGAGATTACGAAGAAGACGAGTGTTCTTTTCCAGCATCGTGTTGGTCGATGTTACCACCTCGCCATAGAGGAGATGGTTTCCAAAAGTCGGAGTGAAGCGAGACTTGCCTTGGTACTCGTGTAGATTGGCGTAGTACGCGTGATGATTGAAATACGGAGTCTCTTTTGGCAGGGGGTATTCATCCTCGTGTACGAGGACTTGTTTCACCACGGTGTTATAGTCGATGATTCGATCGACGCTGCCATCGAGCTGGTCAGTATCATCTTTTTCGTCATTTTCGGTAGGTAGTGCTTTTGCCAAATCGACCATCTTCCACGTCGCAGGTTTCACGATATGGAAGGTGTCGTTGTCATCTTTGATGAGCTCCTCGCCGTTCTCATCCTTGCGGGTGACGTCGGCGAGGCTCGAGACAAGTGCTGCAGTGTGTTGGGGTTGGAGCGATGATAGGTGCAAGCGGGAGAGAGAAGGTACATTTTGCTCGTCGCTCACGACCAAGCCAAGCTTGTTGAGACATGCCTTGATAAAATCCATGCGATGTTTCTCGTCGTTGGCCAGAGCAGCAATGACCTCTGAGAAGCCTGGTACACTCGGCTTTGGTTCTAAGTTGGCAGCTGCAAACCTGGACTTCGTCAGTGACCAGTCATCCGCCGGCTTTCCGAGGAACACGAACTCAGGATGTGGTCCTGTCAACAAAGCGGCACCCTCTCCAACTTTGCAATAAACAACAGCGGCGGAGCCTTCACCTGAGTCGACAGCCAAAGGATCAGAGTAGCTCGCAAGCACCTCGACGCCCTTGTCCTTGTACTTGAAAGCATCGACAAAAACGCCGCCACCATTGTAGTACGACTTGAAAACATTGGGCACCGTCCCAGCAGATAGGGCACTCTTATTGACTTGGAGGTCGACGGCACGAGCCCCTTTTTCGCTGTGGTACACGAAGCCCGGAAAAGCGCAGCCTCGATCGATGCCAGGGAAGAAGGCGAGCTCCCGGTCGCCAACGACCTCGAGCAGCTTGTTACCAACTTCGAACTCGCATCTGGCACTACCATAGTAGCCACCTGCACAAAAGCCGATGTATCTACCACCGCCCGCCACATACTGACGGATGCGTCGATTGCCTTCGCCATTCAGTGTGCTGCAATATCCCTGGTCGGCGCCTCCGGGAAAGACCAGGGCTGCGCAACTGGCGGTCCACGGCTCCTTAAGGAGCATATCTCCCGTGACTGGAATGACTGCATAGTTTGGTGACAGGAGCCTCCGTAGAGTGAAAAGACAGTGACGAACGGATTCGACGGTACTGCCAAGGCCTGAAGAAAGCATTAGATTTTGATTGCGGCGCCATTCATCCTGGGTGAGCGCACCAGAATAGACGAGAATGTTCATGCGCTTTGTAGACATGATTGCAACTAACGTGGCGATGCAATCTTGGGAGATGGTGGCAGAGGAATAAACATCAACGGGGTGTGTCAGATGACTTTGACCCCCAAGAGTCTACAGTTCTCCGCCTACCCGTGACAAGCGTAACCTGCCTTTCTTTTCCAAACCTCAACCTACCACAAGAGCAGAAATGTCCGAGAAAGAGACGGCCACCAAGGCTGAAGCGGCTGAGGAGGAGTTAGATGATTGGTAGAGGCCCTGGAAGGTTGACGCCGATGGTGAAGATGGGCTAATTTGCAAGGACAGGGATCAGCGGATTTTCAGCACTGGGTGCGCTGGTAAGAGGAGTTCAAACGCAGAGAGCACCAGCAAAAGACCACTGACGCAAGACACTTGATTGAATTTAGAAGAGCAATTGCGGATGAATGATTGTTACTATGACAAGAAAGATTGGCGAGTATGTCGAAGTGAGGTGAGTGAAGTTGTCGAGTCCCCAACCAAGAAGGTGAAGCAAGCTTGAGCAGACTTTTGTCCGAGGCAAGCGCGAGGGGGATCCCCAATTGCAGTTTGCAGCCGCCCCCAGACTTCCACACCCAATGTCTCAGCCAATCTATCAGACTACCTTACCTAACTTGACTTCTGCACCAACCAGATGGAGGCATTCAGAGAATGTTGGAAGAGAAATGGCAATGAGCAGCGCACACAGTCTCGAGATGTGGCAAAGCAAAAGTGACAATTGAATCAATTCCATGCTGCATGCTGCTTTGAAGGGGCCTCAAGGAACCATGTTCCAGACCATCAGACTGCACCTGGGTCACGTGGGTTGGTGTTGGCAACGCGATTCGAAAAGACTCTTTTGCATTCAACTTCAGCCAACCTCAATCGCATCAAACAAGAGATTTTGTAAGAATAATCCTGATATCTTGTACAATAGAAATCTCAATTCTCTCCCACCGTTGTTTCTGTTGTACACCCAAGAATCGCCTTCCTCCCAGACGTCATGTCTTTAGCCTCGCGACTGTGCAGGCAGTGCATGCGGTCCACGTTTCGCAGCCACCCTACCACTTCTCTCCCACGTCAATCCCTTCACTCTTCAACCTCTCGCAGCGTCTATACCGCATCTCGGTCATTCAAAGCCGAGCCTACTATAGGGAAGGCTGCCTCACCTACGCCAACAGAATCCACCACTCCCTCCTCATCGCCAACCCCGGCCCTCGCTGACCAGCCCTTCAACCTCCAAGAAGAAGACCCAACGCACGTTGACTGGGCGACATCGTTCCATGGCCTTTCCGTACAACCATTCTCCAAAGAAGCAGCAGATGTCTTATTAGCACCAATTGTGGAACATGACATTGAGATCAAGCCTGATGGGATCATCTATCTACCCGAGATCAAATATCGAAGAATCTTAAACAGGGCTTTTGGGCCAGGTGGCTGGGGTCTTGCACCAAGAAGCGAGACCATTGTCACGGAAAAATTAGTCACGCGTGAATATGCTCTACTTGCACATGGAAGGTAGGTCGGCCTGTTGTTTCGCAGACAAGCTCTTTTGACCATCTTCTAGACTTGTCTCGATTGCACGAGGGGAACAGGCTTACTTCAACAAGGATGGAGTTTCTACAGCATCCGAAGGATGCAAGTCTAATGCCATGATGAGGTGTTGCAAAGACCTCGGCGTCGCAAGTGAACTTTGGGATCCTCGATTCATTCGAAAATGGAAGTCAACGCACGCTCGCGAGGCTTTTGTGGAGCATCAAGGAACTAAGAAACGCACAAAGATATGGCTGCGCAAGGTAGGTGCCTTCTGGCGACCATGTACGAGACGAAGGAAATACTAAAATCGATCAGGGCGATCCAGTTTCTTATCCATATGTGGAGAAGAAGTGATGATTTTCGGAGCCAGCAAGTATTTTGTCTATCAACGCCAACCTCAACCAACATACACGATATAACTAGGACCAAATTTTCCAAAACTAACCGGTCGATACCGGACCGCATTTGCGTCCAGTTGGCCCCAACACGCCTTCAGCCCAGCTCCGAATTCAATCACACTCTATGCCGGAAAAGCTCGGTGGCCTTCCGAACCCAGGTGCGTCTTGAGCAATGATTCAGGTACAGCATTTGAGTGCGAGGCTATATCGTGCATTTGGCCATACATCAAGCAAGATATGACGCTCCCTTGTTTAAAAAAGAAAAGATGAGACAAGTTAGATTTGGAAATTGGGGTTAAATAACTCAGGGCTGGTAGCTCGAAGCAAAGCAAGAGCTTCTTGATGCCAAGATTTGTATTATAGACGGAGGGTGACTTGGCCTGCGCCTGGCAGCCTAGCATCCTAGCAGCCTCGCGGGTGTGTAAACCCGCGAACAGCCGCACTTTCACATGCACGTGCACCACAGGCACAATTGTTCATATGTAATGTTCCTCAAAGCCTCTCCTGCATGCGTTGTGCAACTATCTCATGCGCTATGATTGACACTGTTGCTATCGAAAGAACGAGACTGGCCACTGGACAATTCAAAACTAGATTGCTAGAAGCTCATAGGTAGTAGAAATGAGGCGTGACGCAACTAAGGCAGGTGCATAGTCGTACCTGCCTTGATAACAATGCCAACAATGACTTGGAGCTGATTATCCACGTCCAGAGTGGCCAGTCAGTTCAATCCAATTCCTTTTCAAGAGATGACTGTACAAAGGATCATATCACCAGAGCAGAGCTCGTAGAGTCCCTGTTCTTCCTACACTGGACTCGTTCGGCGAAACGCTTAGGAGGTCAACACCGAGGTTCCGAGACCCGCGACTATAGTCTATGAGTGTTCCACTTCTGGTGTGTTGTCGGCCCTTTTGACTGACTGACTGACAGCGCAGCGGTGAAGGAGTCGGATGATATTTGGGTCAGATACATGTGAAGATGATGAGAAGATGCAGATGACTAGCATCATCATGTGTGGTCAGGGTGAAATCAATAATGATGATGGCATGTTGTAATATTTTATTATATGTAGCCCGTCGAACTTACCTTTTCCGCCAGCCAGCGCGAGGATAGCATCGCTCTTGCTTGCTCCGGTAATCTTCCTGCGCCTTCCAAAGTGAAAGTGAAACTCGGGAGTGCATATCTACGGCAAGTGCGTGCAACCAATCCCATTGCTGGAATCCCATCTCCTTCTTGGGTCACGTCCTGCCTGCGTCCTGTCACGTTTCCCTTCTCATCCTCATCCTCCGCGTTTCCGCTTTTTCGCCTTTCCAAACCCTTGCTGGACCCTCGTCAGCCCCGCAGTTATCGCTTTTATTTGAACATTTCAGCTTAGTATATACTTCCAGCCAAGCATACCAAGAAGCTCCAAACGTCTCGCCTCCCATCGCCGAACGGAGCACCTTGTGTTGGTCATGAAGACTGGGTTTCCTTCTTTGACCTCTGACCTGATGAGGCTTCATGATAGCTGAGTCAGGCCTTGACTTGAGCCCGAAACCGACTTTATTCCACCGCATCACAGACCATCAACTTACTTTTCCACAGTCCTTTTGATCGTTGAACGTTTTCCGTCCGTTTCGAGCATAATTCAAGACCGAAATCTAGAGCATTCCTTCCATGACGAGAGAGCGTGGCGGTGCATCCACTCTGGTCTTTACCCACACGTGCCACACCTAACACGGTTCGCCAACTGACCGGTGTCTTGGACTGCTCCAAGTAGTCCGTGGACCTCTTGTACGGTTCTCCAGTCATAAAGATTCTAGCCCTGCTACCCCGCGAACCTCTTTCCTTCTTATTATGGCTGCCAATGCCTCCGACCTTCCTGACCACGCGACACCTGCGGCATCACCTGAAGAGGAAGAAGAGCTTCGTTTTGGCGAGGTGTGGAAGAAAGCTGGTACGAACGAAGTTGGCCCTCCGCTCTCCAAGCAGCGCACCGACAGCTCGAGGCGCAAATCGTCAATCCAATTCCATACTGCGGATGCGGAAGATACGATAAGACGAGAGAGCGTTGTTCAAGGTCCACGACCGCCCCTGGCACCTAAAAGGATGTCATCACCGCCTCCTCCGTCAAACTACCAGCGCGGAATCTCATTTGATACTTTTGAGAACCGAGATGCTGCCAGCGAGGCTTTTACCCTCAATTACAAACACCGAGATTACACTGCGACGTCACGTTCTCGCACGTTTCTATGTGGAACGGATGCCAAAGACTACTCAGAGTATGCTTTGGAGTGGATGTTGGACGAGCTGGTTGATGATGGTGACGAGATTGTCTGCCTGCGGGTGATTGAGAAAGACGCAAAAACCGCAGTCGACAGGACCTATGATCGGGGAAAGTATCGACACGAAGCACAGAAACTGCTCGACAGCGTTATCAAAAAGAATAGCTCGGAAGAAAAGGCCATCAGCATTATTATGGAATTGGCTGTTGGCAAAGTGCAAGAAATATTCCAACAAATGGTGCAGTCATTCGAGCCCAGCTCCGCAGTAGTGTCCAACTGACCATGTTACAGATCCAACTCTACGAGCCCGCAGCCCTCGTTGTGGGAACCCGGGGTCGAAATCTTGGAGGAATGCAAGGACTGTTGCCAGGTTCGGTGTCCAAGTATTGCCTCCAGCATTCACCGGTGCCAGTGATTGTGGTGCGACCCACGTCCAAACGACTGAGGAAGAAGAAAAAGCGTCAATTAGAGTCTGGTCGCAGCCTTTACAGCAACATGCTCGAGAAGGCACAGACTTCTGGAGGTAGTCATGTGTTTGACAAATCCAGTGGCGTATTTTCGATGCGAGCGACAGAACAAGAGGCCGAAGCAGTGGCAAAGGCCATTGGTCCACCCAAACGTGGTATTCTCAAGGGCACATACGGAGGATCTCTTCCTCGAGTGTCCTCGTCCAGGGGTGACGTAACGTCTGATGAGGACTCACCAGAGCGCCAGTTTGCGTTGCCCATTGGCTATCTGAGCACCGAAAGTGCGCCACGAGCTGACCTCGCGCTGAAGAGTCCCAGTATTGCAGCTCTGGAGGAGACGTGGGACGACGAGGATTTTGTCAAACAACCTCCAAAGTCACCGCGGCACATGCCAAAGACGGACCACAGCGCTATCGACGATGCAGTATCCGACACAGAAGACAGCTATCTTGGGGTGCCGAAGATTGTCGAGGAACGAAGACCATCGGTGAGGGAAACCACTCCATGGCTGGCCAACATCCTTCGCGACACGCCCCCTCCGCGGCGGTCTGCTAGCAAAGGTCGGTCACCCGCGCGATAGCACTGGCATCTCGTGGCATGAAGATGACATGAATGCCACTGGAATCTTGTGTTTAGGATGTTCCGTATGGCCATCATGGAGGTCGCGCGTCTTGAAAATGACGTCAATTGGAGTTGGTGAAATCAGAATCTCGGCCCTTGTATCCGAGTTGCAGGAACAAAGACCTATCAACCATGCATTGTGGTTTAAGTGAAAGTGAAAGGACACGGACGGCAGATATCAATGGGAAGGACCTTTGAAAGAAACCGTGAGAGACGATCGATATGACATGCAAGTATATACTTATCTTGTGACGCACGACAAGCGAGCGATATAGTACATGATCAGAATAACACTCGTTTCTCTTTTGAAGAGCTATTTTAAAGTGGGTTTTTCTCGTAGATCTGATGTTTGTGTTAATCTGTCATTTCTTGACGGGCTGGCTGAGATCAGATTGGAAGTTAGGAAGCGAAAACGCCATATTAATTAAAAGCCGCGGGTGCGTATAAGCATATTCGCGTTTCGTGTGGTGGCTTTAAATGAGGCGCGTCAGGATGGATGTGATGCACATCAAATAGCTCTTAGGTACCTGATTGTAGGCCCTCGGGCGTCCATTCCACCCGTAGCACCCGCACCGTGGCACCTAAAGATACCTCCTAAGCTTCGTTAACTGTTAAGAGAAGACAGTCCCCCCTCGACTCCTCATGCCCTCTGTCTCCCCCCCGTGTCTTTCCCCATGTCTCCCTACCACCGCCCACCCCTCCAGCCCCCTCGGCCCCTTGCTTCTGAACCCTGCCCCGTAGAAGAGATAAGCAAATGACTGCGCTCTACCCTCTACCCTCTACACATATACGCATCTACTCGTACGCTCATCCTCTGTACTTCCTCCCTACCATGATGTGATGGTCGAATTGACTACTCTTGTCACACCTCAACGCAGCTTCATTTCTCTATCCTCATCCACCTCCACCTGTGCCACCTATCTTCCTCTCCCATAACATGCCTTGGGCACCGGGTCCATCCCACTTCGACCTTGGATCTCGCACAATATGTTGCCAACGACTCCAGGCCAGGCACTCGACTGCGATGAGTGTCTCCCTTCATATGTAAAGTCCTCTGCCTCACATTTTGGCACCCGCGCCGCGCTATCAACCACCCCTTTCCTCGCCACTTTCGCCCTCTTCACTCTCATCGCCTATCGAAAAGTCTATCCTCTTCTTTCCTCCACTCCTCCAAGGAACGACGATGCTTCCAAAGGTCTTCCTCGTCCCTCGAGTTCAGGTCCTGAACCTGCCACTCAACAACTCGCTCGACGCATTGCAGCCTTGACCTTTTCATCCACCATTGCTCTCTCCGCCGTCTTGACAGAACTTCTGCTGTGCGAGATCTCCAACTCGTTTAATCCCACCGCGCGAAGCATTGCGCTGCAAATCACTGTTGCCAGTTTACTGGGGCTTTTGGTCGTCGCTATCCCTTTACTCGGAATCTCATCCGTCGTTTCGAAAACAGGCTACAAGTTTCGAGGTGACAAGAAAAATAGACTTCGTCTGGCTTGGTTGTTGGAATTGGCGGGATATGCGGCTTTCTTGCTCGCTTTCTGGGCCATAGGAGCCATTCTTCCAGACAATACCACCATCACTGAGAGTATCAAGAACTATGACAGTCTGTTCCAGGCATGTCTCGACAGACTGGGCATCACTGGAGTTTCTCTCATGGCTTTGCTGTCTGGATTTGCCTCTGTCAGTGCCATCTGGCAGACCTTTGGCCCTCGACATCGACTGATTTCAGAGGCCGAGATCACTCGCAAGCAGGCTGGTCTCGACGCTACCATGGATATGATGGCGGAAAAGAAAAACAGATTGCGACAATTTGAAAGGAAAACGGCCGACATGCCACAACAAGGCTTCTGGGGCCGTACTGTTGGTTCGTGGCGAGGGAATTCCGATTCGCAAGAAAAGCAAACCCTTGAGATGGAATTGAGTGGCCTCGAAACAATGGCAGCATCTCTTGAAACTACTCTCAGCATCCTTCGCTCAAGACGAGCCGATCAAGTGCGCGCCACTACGCGCTCCGGCCGTGTATCACTGGCCTTCTCCACCATCTTCGCAGTCTACTGCATCTACCGAATTTGTACTACCGGCCTCAACATCAGCCGTCGAGTCTTCAACCATCAAGGCCCGGTCACCGAGATGACCGCTTCATCATCCGACACCGACCCCGTCACCTATACTATCGCCTTATTCGCCCGTCATGTCTACCCTTCACTCGATCAAGCCTCGTGGGCTCAACAAATCTCCTTTCTCTTATCAGGAGCCATGCTCCTAGCCTCCTTTTCCGCCGTCACACAGACCTTCCACCTCTTTTCACGTTTTATGCCCCGGGTTCTACACGCCACCAAGACCAACTTCGCTCTTCTCATCTCTCAAATCAGCGGCATGTACGTCATCAGCAGTGCATTGATGCTGCGTGGCATGATGCCCAAAGAAGTCGGCAGTGTCATCAACTCGGCTCTTGGAGCCGGTCTACTCGAACCTGCTTGGGTTCAAAAATGGTTCGATGGGTTTTTCATGCTCGCTGTGGTTGCAACCACCGTTGGTGTGATCCTCGGACGTCAGATCTCAGGACCAGCAGTCTGGGACGATGATGTTGGTGGTGGAGGTTGGGACGGTGATGTTGAAATGGGAAAGATGTCATGATGTTGAGTTGGTGCTGGTTTGATATTCCCGCTTTCCTCTCTTTCTGGGAATAAGGAGTATGTGTTTTTAGCAATGAAATGAAATGTATTCCTTCCTTTGTCTTTTTGACAATGTATGGGAAAGGAGATGGATAGATGGAATGATTACAGGATGGGAATTGATATGTATGGTACGAATGAATAGATGGAGGATTGAAGGATGGATGACAGGATGGATCAACGGACCGATGTCAAGGCGCAATCAGGGCAGATGGGTTTCGGACAGGACATGGTATCTATCTAATCAAAGTAAATTCGGGAGATTTATAGATATAGATATAGTATATACCTGCTTGCTATAGTGGTATCGACAAGGACCTGACTACCTTTTTCAAGCATCACTGAAATGCCTGTCATGGACATGACAAGGATATCACATTGCTGTATTAGATCTCAATAGATTTCTTTTTCTTACTGCTTTACAATGAAATCCTCATCTATGTACACCTTCAACTTGTAACTGATGCTTTTACTGAGTATCCTCAACCACAGCCGTTGTCCAGGAGGTCCAGGAGGAAAGGGGGAGGATGGTTCTCAAGGTATGGTATCGCAAAATAATGCTCCAAGAGATAGCTATATAGTCAATCTCTATTCCCTCACAAAAACACCCGCCATACCCATTCCCGTACCGATACACATACTCACGACACCAACCTGTCCAGCCTGCAACTGTGCCATTAGAGTGGCCAACTGTCTCGTTCCCGTCATGCCCAACGGATGGCCCAAGGCAATCGCGCCACCCCTGGGATTCACTTTGCTGATATCCAACCCCAGCTTTCGAGTACAATACAACGCCTGACTTGCAAAAGCCTCATTAATCTCCCAAATATCCACGTCCTCGGTCTTCAAACCCGTCAGGTCCAAAGCCTTGGGAATCGCCACCGCGGGGCCCACACCCATTTCATCCGGTTTACATCCCGCCGTGGCGGTATTGACCCATTTCCCAATAATCGAACCGGTTAAACCGAGTTCATTCGCCGTCGATCGTCGGAGCAGTAACGTCGCGGCGGCACCATCTGAAATCTGACTTGAATTACCGGCCGTGGAGAAACCATCTGCTGAAAATGCGGGTTTCAATTTCCCCATTTTCTCTGCATTGACTTCATGTCGAATTCCGTCGTCTTTATCTACCAAAACCTCCGATTCCGAAGCTGGCGCATCCGGTGTTTCGGCGGTGAATTGCTTGACTTTGACAGGAACAATCTCCCCATCGAACAACCCGGCCCGTTGGGCTTTACTTGCTTTCTGATGGCTTTCGGCCGCGAATGCATCTTGATCGGCGCGGGAGACGCCGTATCGTTTGGCGACGTTTTCGCTCGTCAACCCCATCGGCATGATACAGTCTTGGGCGTCTTGAACGGGACTGTTTCGTAATTCGTCCCAGAGTTGTGTGGGGATGGCTTTACTGCCGTAGTTCTTGGTCATGGATTCCATTCCCGCGCCGATGCCGATGCTGATTTGTCCCACGGAAATCATGTTGGCGATGCTGGTCACGGCCGCGAGTCCCGAACTGCATGCTCGGTTGACGGTGTGGAGAGCGGTTTTTTCGCTGAACCCAGCGTGTAGTTGTGCCATGCGAGCGGCTTTAGAACCGCCAAGTTCGGAGAGGACGACGCCGACGGCGACGTCTTCGATCTTTTCCGGTGGGAGGTTGGGGTTGGCGGCGAGGGTGGCCCGCAGCACGTGTGAGAGGAGTTGGTGGTCATAGGCGTCTTTGAATCCGCCTTTGTAGGAACGGGTGACGGGGGTTCTGAGGGATGAGAGGATCACCACGTCGTTTGGACCTTTTTCAAGGACGTTTTTAAGACCTCGTGCAGCTGCCATGGTGATTGAGTGATGAGGATGGTTGTAAGGAGAGAACGGTGGAGGTCGAGGTCGAGGTCGAGGTCGAGGTGGTAGGGGAAGAGTGGAAGGCAAAGGGTAGACAGGCGATCTAAACACGAAAAAGAGGCCAATGTGAAATATTCTCAATATCCAGTTCAAGAAGGATAAAACACTTGACTCGATCGGAAATATCCAGAGTGACAAGGTTGATTACTTACTCCGTAGTCGGTCTAAACAAGACATTGGTGGTTTGTCGTGTGGCCATCGGATAAGGTCTTGGGGGGGATTTGCGTAGAGGGAGAAAGGATAGAGTGCTGGTTGCATTTTGCCATCGGAAGCGTTCCCTCGGCAATGGGGCGGAAGGAGGAGGAGAAGATGGGGCCGAGGGGGCAAATATCGAGGGGCGCGTGAGGCGGGTAACGGGTTGATCCAGGTACAGTTACAGGGACCTGAGGGATTACTATAGGCACCCAAAGCCCAAAGTTTAGGTAGGCCCATTGCCCAGGTACAGCCTGTACAGGCACTGGACTCATAGTGGATTCATTGTCGGCTTACCCCGGGGCAACTCCGCACACGTGGTTCAACGTCTCCAATATCCTGTTGAGGAGAGAAAGTCTCAAGGCCACAGTTGAATTAGGGGTACTCACGTGGTACTTTCACACCTAATTCATACTCCCTCGTCCCTGGAATACGGAAGACTGTACTCGGAAGTATCCGAGTCCGACCTGTCACCTTTCCTTTATCACAATAACCTCATGACCCATTATCACCATAACATTAAGTTTTAACAATAACAATATCTTTCTAACCCTATAACCAACCTAATCCTTTGATTCTCAACAAAGAAATGCCTCCCTACCTACCTAAGGTAGTCATTCAAAGCTGCACCACCACTTTCCTAGCACTAACCCCCTCCTTTTGCGTATCCAGCCCTTTTTCCACATAATACAAACCCTTTCCCACCACCAAAGGATCCGGCCTTGGTCTCAAGACCTTCTTCTCCAAAGCTTCACTTACAAACTCTTGCCAGATCTTCTTGGCCACAATTCCATCTTCCTGACTGACAATATTCCCACTACTAATCCTCGTCACCTCAACATCATCAGGTAATTCATCTGGATCTGGGACTGAAACCGTACTTGCAATCTTCCCTCCTCCTAGAGCATGCAACACTTGAGCCGATTGTGAAACGGAGGAATTAGAACCAATTGCATCGTAGACGCCGACCACCTCTGTATCTTTGAGGATCTGGATCAATAGTTCGACAATGTCTGGATTATGGTAATCCAAGACAAATTTCGCGCCTAGGTCTTTGACGTAGAGATAGTTGGCTGGACTCGCTGTCGTCACAACTTGATATCCAGATGCAACGGCCAATTGAACCACCGAACTACCAACCGAGGAACTTCCTCCCCAAAGCAACAAAGTCTGTGTCTCTTTCTCTTTCTGTTTCTGTCCCTGTCCCTGTTCTTCCCGTGGCCCAGGCCTCCTGCTGTCCAGACTAGGATACCTCAACCCCAGCGTACTTTTCAAATACAGCCCCGCCGCAGCCGTACTCACACTCAAGGGCAGAACCACCGCTTCAGTGAACGCCACCTGTGGCGGAACCTTGGCTACCGTCCACTGTTTGAGCATGGGATAGAGTTGAAACCCACCGTACCGAGCATCATTCTGACCCAGACCAGGGGCGTTGGCAATAACCAGATCGCCTACTTTGACGTGCTTGACGTTTTTGCCCGCTTCGAGCACGGTGCCCGCGACGTCCTGGCCGAGGATGTTGGGGAAGGATAGTCCAAATGGGTTGTTGGGTGAATTTTGAATTTTCCAGTCCACGGGGTTGATGGCCACGGCGGCGTTTTTGATCACGATATCGTCGTCGCCGACTTCGTGGCCAGGAAATGGCGCGGTGGCAACGTCGAGTGAGGTTTGCGGGGCGGGGAGCCAGGCTGCGTAGTTGACGAGTTGCATGGTGGGTGAGGTTGCAGACCTGGCTAGGTACTACTTGAAGTCTTTCTTGGTCTTGAAATACAAATATGTCGTGATGGTCTATTCGGGTCGGTACTTGTCTGGCTGGTGTAAAAGTGACAGGTTTTGTTGTTAGTCACCAAAGACTCACAGTCAATACTTTACAAAGCGTTAGAGAGAGATCTCGAGTATAGACAACAATGAAAAACCTCAACAATCTAAACAACTTGAAGGCAAACTGGCCTTCTGTCTGCCAGGCTGCCAATATCCTTTGCAATGTGTGTATTAGAAATCATATCATCACCACTCCTAATTGCGCCGGTAGATGATACACTGGCGCGGGGAACCACCCAGGATTAACCCCTCGACGTCCCTCGGTCCTCTCAGAGCCTGGCCGGCACAAATAATAGCCACTCGCTCCGCAAAATCTGTTATAGAGGGGGGAGACAGTTGTGTTATCGGATCAAAAACGACGTTGCTATTGTTTGGTCCTCGGCCTTGCGACCGAGTCCGATGTGATCAAGTGCTTTGACTATCTTCTATCTCCACCGTCACCCTGCTCAGAGCCTGGAGAGGACCAGCTCGTCGCGATCCACCACATATCTCCCCACATCCACCTTCAATACCACATATCAAGAATCTTCAAAATAGAGAACAATGCCATTTTCCCAAACCTAGGCCGAGGAAACAATAAATAAAAAACAGAATATTGTGGTGGAAATCGGGTTGTCGTAGACGGCGTTGGATATCAATAGATGTCGGCGTTCCCTCTGTACATGCTTGGAATTTGGGACCCGCTGCCTTTCAGTTCCAGCCCAAGCTGTTCTCCGCCATCACTGGCGGACTGATGTACGTGCGTCCGCTTCGGTTGGAATTGCTTTGATCACTGTTCCGCGATGTCCGCCCGCCAAATCGAGTTCCGTAACTACCGCGGAGCCCACCCATCAAGCCTGAATGTTCGCCAGGACGGGGAGTGCTGCCACGGCTTGATTGCATGCTGCTTGACCTTTGGTGACCAGCCTTCTTCTTCTTGTATCTTCGGGCTACCAGGAACATGGCCGCTCCGTATACAGTGGCACCAGCGACCGCACCAACAGCAATGCCCACCGATGATGGTCGTACGGGTGCGCCGCCAGAGTCAGACCCAGGAGCTGCTCCGTCGTCGCCCTTGCCGCTACCACCACTGCTCGTCGATGGGTCTTTGGACGTGTTGATTGGAGTGCCCCCGTTGCCCACGGTAGAACCGGCCAGAATGGGGATCGAGGGATCAATCATGCTCATCAATGTGGTGACCGATGGATTCGAGTGGTGAAACAGAGGAGAGTTGGGGTTCAGAACAAGAACTGACAACAAGTCAACCTTGTTTGCGGGAATGTAAGCCATTGCCAATGTCGTCACATAGCCAATCGACTCCAGAGTATTATACGGCTGAAGATATTGCATGACAACGTCGTCAATGGTAATGTCTAGTCCCTCGGCAACACCGGGAGGTAGGTATGAGAAGATCTGTGACACAGCGGTGGTGGACGAAACCACAAACTGGTAGTTGAGACCATAGGTGAATCCGAGTTGAATCAAGGTGGAATTCTTGGGTGCATCAGGGATGCCGCCTTCTGGCTGAATCACACTCGGCAGTGTGGTGGGAATCACGGCCGCGCTGGACGATGTCGAACCTGATGTTGGTGGGGCCGATGGCGCTGAGACGACACTCGATTCGGGAACCAAGGCTGTGGCTGAGTCTGTACCAGTAGGTTCAACAGTATTGGTTTGGGGAACTGATGAAGTCAGGCGCGCATCTGGTGGGACATCGGAGGTCGTGGTTGGAACTTCTGGAGGAGGAGTTGTCGTCGGTGGTGGTTCGGTGGTGGTCGGCAGATCTGGCGGTGGCGTCGTCGTCACAGGTGGAGGTGTCGACGTGGTATTTGCAGTGTCAGGGAAGTCAGTAGGAGGAATCGTGGTGGTAGTTGGGATGTCGGTCGGGGTAGTTGTGGGATCATCCGTAGGAGGAGTGGTCGGAGTATCCGTAGGTGTCGTCGGAGTATCCGTTGGAGGAGTAGTGGGAGTGTCTGTTGGAGGAGTAGTGGGAGTGTCCGTTGGAGGCGTTGTAGGGGGGTCAGTGAATGGTGTTGTTGTCGTTGGTGGACTGGTAGGCTCAGAATCATCATCGTTGATTGAAGTGGTGCTGCTGGTTGATCCTGAAACAGTATTGGTTGGTGGAGCTGTGGGCTCAGAGTCAGTGTCGTCAGTGTCGTCAGAGTCCGTGGCAGAGGCACTGGTTGTCGTCACTGCCGGTCCTGAACTGCTTGTTGTGTCCGAGTCCGTCCCTGAGGTGATGACTGCATCATCTGGTTCACTGGTCGACGACGATACGAAAGCGGGATCCGTGGTGGAGGCAGAATCAGAAGTAGCAGTGCCACTGATGATTGTGCTTTGGCCAATGGTAATGCCACTTTCCCCCGAAGTAGAGGTAGTTCGAGAACTACTGCTGGATGGATCAGCCGTTTCTGTGTTCAAACTCTCAGGAATAGTCCTAGTCGAAGTGGTCGTGGCCTCGGTCCTGGCGGGTGAGCTGTCGGAAGTCGTGCTGTCACCAGTGACAAGATCAGACACAATATCACCAACTGTTGATACTAGATCTCCCAAACCCAAGTCATTGCTAGACGAGCTCGAAGTCGTGGTAGTCGAGTTATCGTTACCAGTCACCTGTCTCTTGACTGCTCGAGGGAAATAGTATCGAGGCTTCAAATCTGTCCTGCGAGGATGATGGTTGCCAGGAGCTGCTTCGGCGAACGACACAGCAGCCAGTGCGGAAAACAGAGCGAGGTGTGTGATCTTCATGGTTTCGGGTTCGAAGAGGGAAACTGCATGGACGGTCAGTACGCAATTGACCACATTCAACCCAGGAAACCACTTACCACCGAAATCTTGTTGCTAAAGAATGGATCAGGTAGGTATGTCAAAAATCAAAAGAGTGGCTAGGATCCAAAGACCCTTGGAGTTGGCGTAGAAAGGAAAAGAACGAGTATGAGATGGCCTGAGCAACTCAAATGTAGCGTCTTGTTCAATTCTGCCGCAAATGGAATGGGACGGTCAACCAACAACCTTGGTCATTCATGCACCCGCGAGGATTCTTTCAATGAGAATTGATTCCTTTGGCGTGACAAAGAGCGTCAAGTGTGGCGTAGATCTATTCCAACGAGGTGGACCAGCCAATAAATTGATCGAACAAAGGGTCGACTAAATGGTGCAGTATCGATATGAAGGTCGCAGGCACAATCCAGAACGTCGATATGCGCGTAGATGACAGGATGGAAGAATACCAAAAGGTTCAAAGAGCGTGATTGAAGCGAGGCGAAATGAAAAAGCTCGTCAACGGCGAAGGAGTGAACGCGAGCAGGAACGAGATCGAGCTGGCAATGGAGGAAGGGGCTCCAAGTCGGTCGACGGCTTCAGCGGCTCGAGGAGCGTGGCGACAAGTCGAAGGGGGAGGTTATCGGTCGGCGAAGGGAAAAGAGCGACCACGGCGACGTTGACGTGTGAGGATCATCGAGGCTCAAAGGGCGAGAAGGGTTGAAGGCGTTGAGGTCGAGAGGATCAGAAAGGAAGACAAGGCATGGTTGGAGGAATGGCACGAGAAAGGACAAGGACGAAGCGAAGTGGAACAGAGGGAAAGGGATGCGAGGGTTGAGGCTTGAAGCTTGAGGGTGAGAGTGAGAGGGAGAGGGTCTAAGATCTGGGAGGTCTCCATCCATCTCCATCGTTTCATTTGGTTGGTGGCATATTCAGAGCGCGTGCCCCCAGGGACTCAGGCACCCAGGGACCCAAGTGTGTCTGCGTCTCTCTCTGTTTGTCGATGTGGACGTGGACTGTGGGAAACAAGGCGCGGAACAAGCGTGGCTGCTACTGGCTATTGGCGAGACAAGGCGTATTGGCCCCGGTGCTGGGAGGAACTGGCACAACTGGACATGCCTCCAAAGTTTTCCAGGGATGGCCTGCAAAGTGCCAGGGAACTGGGGCTTGAAAGCCAGAGGCTGTGAGCAGAACTCCCCAGTTGACATTCGACGGAGTATGCTAGTCACTGGCGTGTCCTCCGAAGCTAATTGATTGGATGCGTTCCTGACTCTAGACTTGTACAGGAATGGTGGGTTGATCAGCCCCTGTCCCGCCTGAGGATCATCAGCTCCAGCCGGTGGCCTAGGCGTGCTAGGCTACACTCGCGCCCACCAATTTGGTGTCCCAATCTCGCTCCAGAATGTACCCGGCACAGTGAATCTTCGAAGCCCATTCGTTGACTCTTCTGAACCTAACTGGTCCTTATTTACAACGCAACCGGCCACCACAGTTTGTAGTTTCTACTACTCGGTCAGACAGACCACGATCCGCGAGAGTTGCTTCGTTGTTTTGATTATGTACACTGCTAGTCATTTTTTGATCAAGACATTGTGGATTGGCGAGAAACATCCATGCACCTTCAGATGGATCCTGCCCGGTGGTCTGACTTTTCAACCAACCATTGGCAGTCACAAAGGCAAACGTTGATCGAGATGCAGATGTGCTTGTGCTTGTGCTTGTGCCTTCCTCATGTCTTTGCTTAGAATAACTTAATACTGAGACGACGTTCGAAACAATCATTGTCTCTGGTGGCGGTGTGGAAGTTGGCTGTTTGTGCCTCGACCAGAAGCTTACGTTTTGGCAGTGCTGTACCCCTTGTCACAGCAGTCATGGCTGGGGGTGTCGTGGGTGTCTACGTGTCTGGGCGCCATCAACAGAGTGACAATGCTTCCTGCCAAAGCCAAATATTTGGGTCAGACTCGGGGATAGAATGACCAACCTGGACGCGCTCCGGTGTAATCTCATGCCCAGAATCCAGGAGTGAAAGAGTGTCAGACAGGCGCTCGTAAGCCTTGGCGACAGCAACAGACGTGATCAGTGGGTAGAGCGCGTTATTTTGGCGACTTGTCAAGGTTTAGAACCTCCAAACGAGCCCTGACCAAGTCATCAATGTCGATTGCGATCAGAAGGCATGTTCAAAGCCTGAAGATGGAATTATGCAATCAAAGACTACGCTGATTTGCTCTCTTGTGTACCTGCATCAAAATTCTGATGGCATTACCAGCATTGGTGAGATTGCTGGGGTGCAAGGAACATGCACGGCCCCACAAATGCAACTCCGATATGCCGGGCTTGTTTCATCCAGGGATCTGGCAAGCCACAAGGGCCGCAAAGGCCACAAGCGTGACCTGCGAGTGCCACCCGGCCATGTGTGCTTACAGACTGGGGCCAACGAAGGATCAACCATCAAATTACGGAATATAACAATTGTGCATACCTTAGGTATCCAAGAGTCAAGGTCATGCCCGGTAAATTCCTTCTAGAGTCCTAATTATTCTCTTTCAAGGACCCCACTGTCAAGTTTTGGCTCCAAAGATCGACAAGAACCACTCATACTGCAGTCATGGTACGAAAATGATTGTTATTCGATTGTTGCCCCAACTTCGAGGTACGTTATGCATACCGGCTGCTCGTTTGCACAGTGCATTGGGTATCGATCTCGGACTTCATGCCATCGTGGCATGTTTCAGACCAAAAAAAAAGCAAAGCATGGATCATGCGCACGATATCACAAAGGAATGTCGATGACATTGTTGACAGACAAGTCTCCGATGATCCCATTTTATTTGTTTTGTCTCTTGGTTACAGTAGATGATGTATGATGAAGGGCCGTGTTCTGGAATGACGTGCAAAGGAAGTCCCGCCAAAAAGGTTGGACGAGCACGTGATGAAGATTAATCTGCCTGCGTGGATTGATGATCCGAGATGGTGAGGGGTGATCAAACGGCTTATCCGGGCGACTGTTCTCAGTCACGTGGAAGCTGGTTGCTTACGTACACACTAGTTCATCTACTGTTATGTACATGCGTAGGTGTAGGTAGCATACTTCCTCAGGCATTCCCTAAAAATTCAACACCACCTGCCCCTCGACAGCATCCTCCAGCCATCATGACCCTCGCTTCCAGGGCTCATAAAGTTGAATGGCAAATAAACCCTCTTACAAGATGCCCAACGACGGATGGAATGTCCTACCCAAAGGGGGCAGATTTCGCGGGGAAATGCACGTGATTTTAGATCACGTGAGTGCTGAAAATCTCCGATTCCTTTCCATTGATGGTAGGGTGCCCAACATACAAGTTTGATACCACAATGGCTTAGCGGATTAATTCAAAGGAACGTCTCTGCTCATTTCAAACTTGTGAGTGTGAGCAGATAAACAGACAAACGCTCCAATATCCATAGTACTGGTAGAGGATATCTCAGGTACGTGCCGTCCAACGAGAACCAGTCCCGAGCACGTCATCTTCTAGATCCTCACTGCCCCACAAAACCCTGCCTTGTGGCAGCCTTTCCTTTCCCGAGCTGCACCACAAGACTCACAATTGCCCTTTCGCCAAACCTATTAACGATCCCACCTCTTCTTCCACCTCGAGAAACAATTTGTTCACCTCCAGCCAAATGCTGTATCACTAGATTATTGAGAACATCTACAACCTCATATGTTTCTTAGCATACTTATCAGTACGCTCCAAGTCAACGAGCTCATCCCACCACCTTGAGAAATTCCCTCCGTCCGTCCTCAGTCACCATGTCTGACGAAGGATCTTCCTCTACACCGCCATTGAAGAACCCCAAGCTCAGCGCCATGAGCAAGGCCTTTGCTGCAGTTGACCTCGATGGTCACGATCTGCCGCCTTCGCCCGCACCCTCCAGTCCCAGAGGGAGCCGCAACTATGCCATTGCTACCCAACTGGTCTACTCAGAAGGCAATGATCAATACAACGCCAGCAGTGTTCCCATCTATCAGGTATGATAGATCCCCTTATGTACTCCTCACCGGAAACCCTCCTAACATACTCACCTAGTCTGCAACCTTCAAACAAGAATCCTCATCTGGTGGTAACGCCGAATACGATTACACCCGCAGCGGCAATCCCACCCGAACCCATCTAGAAAAACATCTCGCAAAAATCATGCGAGCTAAAAGAGCTCTGGTTGTCTCCTCGGGAATGGGTGCTCTCGACGTCATTTCTCGCCAACTACGGCCAGGCGATGAAGTCGTCACTGGTGATGACCTCTACGGAGGCACCAATCGCCTTTTGAAATTTCTCTCTACCCATGGAGGAATTGTGGTACATCATGTCGACACCGCCACACCTGAAAAGGTCGCAGAAGTCGTCTCATCCAAGACCGCCATGGTACTCTTGGAAACCCCCACCAACCCTCTCATCAAGATCGTCGATATCCCCACCATCGCCGGTCTTGCTCATGCCGCAAACCCAGCATGTCTTGTCAGTGTGGATAATACCATGCTGTCTCCCCTGCTTCAAAACCCCCTCGATCTCGGTGCCGATATCGTTTATGAGTCCGGCACCAAATATCTATCTGGCCATCACGATCTCATGGCTGGCGTCCTCGCCGTCAACGACGAGGCTCTTGGAGAGAAACTGTACTTTACAATCAATGCCTCAGGCTGTGGACTTGCTCCCTTTGACTGTTGGCTATTGATGAGAGGCATCAAGACCTTGAAGGTGCGCATGGACGCACAGCAAGCCAACGCAATGTTGATTGCTCAGTTTCTCGAATCTGCGGGCTTCAAGGTCCGTTACCCAGGTCTTAAAAGCCATCCTCAATACGACCTGCACAACAGCATGGCTCGGGGTGCCGGTGCTGTACTATCGTTCGAGACTGGAGATATCCAGCTGTCTGAACGAATTGTCGAATCGGCCAAGATTTGGGCCATCAGCGTCAGCTTTGGGTGTGTCAACTCCCTGATCAGCATGCCCTGTCGCATGAGTCATGCGAGCATCGACGCAAAGACTCGTCAGGAACGTGGTGTTCCCGAGGACTTGATCCGTCTGTGCGTGGGCATTGAAGACGGCGAGGATCTCTTGGATGATCTGCGCAGCGCTTTGGTTCAGGCAGGCGCTATGGACGTCTCGCTGGATGGTCTGTATGCCAAAAACGCCACGATTGGCGATGTGCATCCGCAAGAAGGAGAGCACTTGGCCGCAAAGGCTGCGGCCATCAACGAGCCATGAAAAAGCATAACAAGGCGCTCAACAGGTGGTGTCTACAAAGCGAAATTTGAATTTTCGTCGTAAAACGGAAAAGTGAAAGGAAAACTCAAGCGAAAAAAGGCTGAAGAAACCGCGCCATCAAAGTGAAACTGACTTCTACATATGGCCTCAGCAGAAGAGGATCATCCGTGAACATGGCCAAACCTTGTTTGTTGAGAGATAGACTCGCACTGCTTTATATATCAATATACAAATTGATCCGTCAAAGTTTCGACAGCTCCAATTGGTGGGTGCCTGTTCTCGACAAGCACGACTCACGTTGCGTCATGTTGATCCAAGGAGAGATGCCATCTTTCAACACTCTGAATGTCATCAACCACTTACTGTTCATCCAAGGAGAGACGTAATCTTTTCACAATCCAGGTCTAATCAGCCACAACCATCTGTTGCACAGGCAGCTTAATCAATCTAAGGACTGATGTGTGAGGCTTTGTTGATCGTTGTTTTCATTGGCTGCGCTCGTCATGATTCTGGTGTAACACATGCCAAATCTTGAGGGGAAAAGACGAAGATTTTGTCAGGATTCGATGTTCTAATCGCGCATATTCAGCATATAGTCAAAAGGGGGCTTCTCTGCAGTTTTGCTTCGTTCTGAAGTCCCACGGCGGCCTGTGTTTCTCACCACCCAAAAGCTTCAGGTGTTAGGATCGACCATCTCGTTACGCATTTGTTGTGTATGTTTCTTCTGCTATTTTGTGTCTTGTCCTCCTATTGTAACATTCGGTTTCCGTGCTCCAGCCCTTTCTTGGTTGTTGTTCCACGACTTCCTCAGCTCTTCAGGTAGTCGGGGGAACTGGCTTGCCGGCTATGTCGCTTTCTTGTCAGGGTCACCACACTGGGAAACCAAGAGTGCTAGCAAAATGGCTGATGAGACGCCTCAGGCTGAGCATGTTGATCGAGGCTCGGATTCGACGTAATAGGATTACATGCGCGGTGTCTTTGTGCAACTGCAAACAAAAGTGAAAATCGGTTGTGTTAGTTTCTGGACATTATGCAACGACCACGTCCCGTTGAGATCATAGATGCTGTTTCGAGGAACATATGGATGCATTTGAACCTGTTCGCAGTCATACCTATGTTTGTTTTCACTTCACTTGTCGTGTGCTGGAGTGGCTGCGTTTCCTCCTCGGATCACCTCCCCGTCGTTCGGTCGTCAGCGGGGGGGAGACGAGTTGGACAATGCTTCAGCAGAATCACCATGGGCATCGTCAAAGATGATTGAGATGACCTTGAGCATCATCACTGTGGGAGTCTTTTTCCTCGCAAACGCGCAGTCGATTGGCCTTTGTGCATTGATTCTTGCATCCGCGAAATCGCTACAATGAATGTGGATCCCATATGTGGATAGGAGAACACTTTGATCCAATAGTCGTCGACCGTTGGAGATCAGACCAATCAGAGTAGAGTACAAGTTGTTTGAGTTTTACGATATTGAAACTCGAGGGCCAGCCTTCTTAAAGCAAACGTTTTTGATCGTGGACTGATCAAACTTGAATTTCCACCTGGCCGAACATGATCCACGTCAATGGAGACGACAACAAACCTCTTGTGAGCGATTTTCACCCACGCATTGACCAGCACGAGTAGTACCCTATCGTGTCAGGGCGGAAATTTCTCCGGTGGCAAGGGGAGTTTCTGGCCAGCCATCGGACTACTTTTAGGCGTAATATGTGTATCGTCAAAACTGTGTACGAGGTCAGAGAGTCGTGTCTCGGACTCCACTCATCCACAAAATCCTGGAGTCGGTGACTACAGGCATGATCGAGCGAGTTGAAAGGCCGACATGCATGCATGAATGATCCTGCTCTTTTCTTCCCAACATGGATTAGCTGACGAAGAAGAAAACCATGCACGCGTGTACAAATTCTCACGACAAGTCACTGACAGGTCGACGCCACAAACCCCCACTCATGGCTTCATTTAACATCCCAGTCTGTGGCCATCGCAAGAACATTCTGTACGTAAAGAGGGATTTCCCCGTCGCTTATTGAACCGACTTTTTAAGTCTATGAGGATCGTTTCGAGGACATGATCGTCGACCTCAATTAGACAATCTCAGATTCTCCGGGACCGTTAAAGCCTTTCATGCCCCCAAGCCCGGGGATGTCCCGGCCACCAGCCGAGGGCCAGGTCCAACCGAGTGAAAGGCGCACTCCTCCGCGAAAAATCGTCCATAACAGGTCACATGGATGATTAATCTTCGAAAAACATCTCCCGTGGGCTCGCTTGCAACGGTATCCCGTCCATGCCTAGGTGAGGACTCCAACCATGGTGGATGGGTTTATCTCATCCTAGTCGTCCATTTCCGCCTTGTGGAGAAACACATACGGACAGGCGAAGGATGCGCCTCAAATTCTCTTGGTATCTCGAAGAAAAAGCCGGAAAGACATTGGACAAGGTTTCTTTGGCCAGTTACGGAGACAGTCGAAGCAGGCTGTTGCAGATGGTGAGGGCAACAAGCAATTAGACTGTCGTCCCGTTTCCTGGCCCCCGTGCGTAACTTGAGACATGAACAACTTCATGAGTACGTACTTACTAGACACGGCAAAACTTGTCGTGTTGCATATGACTATCTAGGGGCCTTTTTCGTTACGCACGCGTGCTGTATGAGGGGACGGACGCATAGGTCTGCGATCCACGATTGACGTTGATGTTTTCCCTTCGCCGCTAGGGCACATCACGAATGTGCGGAGTTGGGCACTGCTCTTTCAGGAAGGACAATTCTCACGCTCTCCCCGTGTCTAGAGGTTAATGACGCCAGTTGAAAGACGGAGGGCCCATACAAGAAGTGACTTCAGATAATTTTGAGGAAGTCGCGAGAAGGAGTGCGGAGGAAGTAACAATGGGCATGAAAAGGAGACGGAAGGTGACAGTGACACCCTGGGCAGTTATATATCGCACCAAGAAGGTCACTGCTCGGTCATACAAATGCTGCATGAGGTAGTTTCTTTGAACGCATACTTTCTGGAGCCCCTCGATCCGTGCCTGTTCTCTTGTCTCGATAGAAGTTCCAAAGACATAGTTGTAGCATGACGGTATCCTCCGTTCAAAATGATGCAAGTACATTATCCAGGTATTCTTCCTATGAGCGGCAGTTGTTCAGCCTCCCGTAAGACGATGAGAGGCGTCGAACCATGGCGAATTGATATTCAAGAGTATCTGAATGACTAATCTCCTCCGTATGGGCGGTAGAATAATAAACCATCGCGAGTCATCGCCACGATGATTGACTCCCCAAGCTTGCTGTCTTGAGTAGTGACTCCATCAACGGTGATTAGCTCACATTGTCTGATCATTGTATTCCAGATCGTTCACTACGTATCAAACACGATAGCTAGAATGCTCAAGAAGATTCGAACGTCTTTTGACCTTCGAAAGGATTAGAATCAAGCTCTGGCCACCATCATCTATCCCTCATTCCTAAAGATCATAACATATCTTCCTCACGGGTCAGACAATCATACCACACTAGCAGTAGACGTCTAAGTAGGCCAGATGTTAGGACTATCTTCTCATTGTCTGACTAACTATCTACCTCAAAGAACCGACAGTAGAGAGTTGTAGGCGTGGAAAGGCTGCCCTGGCTGGACGGACAGCTACTGCCATCCCAACAGCTCCTTTCTCCTTCCTTACAGCAGGACAAACCCCTGAACTACTGTCTGATGGAGCCAACTCTTGAGATAAGGTCGACGACGTGCAACATCGCTCGCTGAGAAGCAACAAGGACTCAGGAGTCCCTCAAGAACAACAATCACGATCCTGTTGCTCCTTGGAACCCCCCTCCACCGTGGACGAGCCATCGCCTTGATGTCACCACATCGTCGCGAAACGGAAGGAGAGACACAGGGGCTAGCTCAGATTTACTGGATGTTATAATCTACTGATGCTCATACTATATACAGATTTGGGCAGAGCCCTGAGAAGGGTCGTTCAAAGAGTTCGAAGAGAGATCTGAGATAGTAAGGACGGCGGTTTCAGGGGCCTTTCCCTGGTCGTTGTCTAAAGAAGATCTCTTCCCTTGCTTCGAGGGCAATCGTCTACTAGCGGTACCTGGATAGGCTTTCCATTACGACCATGTCTAGTTCAATTTCGAATGTCTAGCTACGCAGTTGAGTTCGTAGGTACTGTTCCATGTAGGGTCCCAATAATGGCCAGTACACGATCGGCAAGGGGATTTGTATGGCTTTTGAGCAGCTCTGCTAAAATCCTGAGCACGACCTCACCGCGACGGAGCGTCTACAGCAAAGATTGTGTTCTAAAGCAGATAGATGGCTTGAAGAGCTGGTTCTATCACTAGCAAAGACACGAAAAGGAGACGATTTCCCAGCTGGATCCCGGAACACGGCAAACAATTAGGGGTAGAACACGGTTACTCAGTTGATCACTAGCCAGCTGCAATCTTTCACCCCTTGGTTCTCAATCCGTCTAATAGTCCCGCCGATGAGAGTCGACATGCTGAAAGCGGCACACATGATGGAGATCCCTCTCCACGCTCGTCAGGGATTTTTTCACGATAGTTGTCACTATCGCTCGGTTCACAATATAGATATGCGTGGAACCGTTTAGTCAGACTACGGAAGTTGTGCCTCGCGTATTCATTTGAGGCATTGGATTTACTGGAGAATGAGATCCTGGGACTGTCTGTGCCTTGGAAGTTCTTGGCTGGTGTCTCTTGTGAAGCAGCCAAGGGTACTTTGGAAGACGCAATAAAACTAGTGGTTCAGTACGCAATACATTGCTGGGGATAAACGTCAGCGGTCACGTACCGAATGTCATAATGGCGACCATCTCGCTTCTGGGGACGAGAGGAGGAACAGTCCCTAGGGAGAACTCGGGAAAGACGAAATCTTGGCCTCTAACGCGATAGGAGACTCGGAACCGCTTTTGTCCCCTCTAAGCCTTTCATTCTTCCAACCTGACATTGATCGATGAATCTGGCCCAAAGGCCCGTGTCATGCAAAACCCCGTCCAGTCGACTGGTTTGGGAGATCGAGCGGCCGCTCGTCCGCTGGAATGGACTCGTGTCACTGGTTTATCGTTATCATGGCCGTCTTCTTGCATTTGCGGGTTGCCATGTACTGATCAAACTACCCAAACCGGCACCACTAGGGTGCCACTGGCTCAGTTGATCACCAAGAACGGTCAGAACTACAAGCCACCACCACCATGTTGGCATCGAGTAGCGACCTCAGAACTGGCTTAGCATCGTCAATGTCTCCGCTCGATGGCATCAATTAGTGAGACGCCCATGTGTTGATCGCGGGTGACGGGTTGCGGGTCGCCGGCCTGACGCAAAGGCCGGTCAGGCCCATGGTTTCGCAATGTGAATAACCTTCGAAGCACGTTCGTTCTCTCATCTGAGACCAGCACTTCGAGGTGGACGACACTCGGGTAGCTCTGCCTCACGGTCCATGCCTGTTCTCTCATATGCCCGTATTGCCCCTTACTGGGTGGAGATATAATTACAATTGTCTGCGTTCTGCAGTCAAAACCTGGACCGAGAGTGTCCCGGTCTCGTCGGTGGTAGTCACGGCTGTAGCCTTTCCAAGGCAGCGATCCACCGACGCAGACCTGACGCCCATTCTCCACCATTCCTGATTTGGGCGAGTCACCGACCAAATATGGGACAAAAAGTCCATGAGATAGGTGACGTGGCTAGTCTCATAGTAACGGAGATGCCTGATTGAGGCATAGTTGGCCACGTTTTCAGGATTTTACCATTAATTGGTGTCTCCCGCATGGGGTAATGCACGCGCAGAGCATCAAAAGGTGGAGATAAGCCCATAGATTACCTAAGATGGGTGGCTTATAGGCTAGGCCTGTATATACATACTCCGTAGGTACAATAGTGGTGTACCAGGAGACATTAAAAGGTAGGAAGCATTGCTATCCGGGTTTCCGCCGATCGGCTTCGGGATTTAGCCAGCATCGTTCAGCTGGGTGAGTTCCGGCGGTCAGGTTGCAAGTCAGGGCTGGGATGTCAAGCGGCAACAATCCAAAGGGTTCATCAAGCGACGGCCCTCGCCGAGACAAATGGTTGGCGCAGTCGGTTGTGTTAGGCCAAAATTCTAGAAACGTTGAGGAGATGGTGTGGAGTCAGCAGTAGGTTGACACAGGTTTATTGACTTGTCATGCTCTAGCGCCACTGTATGCCAACGAGATGCCAATTGAGTATACAAAATGCTACTAACTAAGTTGGCTAAACTACGAGAGGTCTACAGACTACGGAGTACAGATTGTTTGGATGTAGTCGCCAGTGCACAGTGGAGCAAGCTTCACGCTGCGCGCCCGCCGTCAAAAGTATGTCTGTTCATAGTCAATTTCGCACAGGGATGCCGACATCCGAACTTCTGTTTTCAAAAGTATCCGTCTGGCAAACTCCGCCATAAAACTAGTGAGATCATTCCCAACCCGCAAGAGGTAATAGCTTTGCGCGGAAGAAAACCTTTCGGGGCCAGATGGGTAGCGCCTCGGGCGTCATTTGGTATGAACGAGGCCGCGGTCACGTGAGTAAAATTATCTGATCATGGATTTTGAAAGCGAAAAATGCCTCCGAAACGATGTCCAAACTTGACACAGATTCCTCAAGTCCCTACTTTAGGGCACATGTCCGGGGGGATTGGCGCAATGGTAGCGCGTGGCTCTCCTATACTGGTAAATTGATTTTATCATTTCTCAGTGGTCATCAAAGCCAAGGTTGTGGGTTCGAGTCCCATGTCTCTCGGCAGTCTTTTTGGATATTTGATTATTTTTTGGACTGCTGAGTGCAGGATGGAGACAAAAAGGGAAGTTTGGAAGAGAAATCACGTGCGAGTGCGGAGGAGAAAATTAGTCACGTGATTTGGAATTGGTTCCGCGAAGTATTAGTAAGTGGGCACGGAAACGGACAACGGCGAAACAGACAACGGCAGCCGTTCTTTGGGAGTTGAATTTTGTTGTGAGATGAGGTCGGTGAAATCGTCGGGTCAACACCGAATTGCATGCCTAGACAGGGGGTAGCCATTTAATTGTCGTGACTCGCGTGCTTTCATCGGAGCAGTGAATTGAAGCATCATTGGGTGGGAGAGTGATCGTTGATCACCACTGGACAAAAGCGGCAGGTCGGTCGTTCTGTTCCAGTGACTCTCGCTTAAAAAGCGGGTCGATTGTAGATCTTGAAGAGCTCTTGTAAGGAAACGTGGGTTGGGGATTGTTGGTCTTCGCTTAGAATGGAAGGTCGGGTGCAGATTATGCAGTTCTTGGAGAGCTGTACTCGTAGTCGCAACTTGAACTCTTGGGGATGGTGAGGACGCCTTCAGGACGGAGAAAAGCGACAGAGAAAGGCCTGTATTTCGGGATCCAACCGCCCTGGAAGAATTCAGGATCCACCATGTCTACGGGTAATGGACTCGTCGTTACGCGACGACACGGTCTGTATAGGTACTGTACGGAGTACACACTGGTTCGTTTCGACAAGGTTACACCTGACGTTGGGCAGTAGTTTTTGGGCATGGTCATGGATGGTTTCTCTTGCATGGTTGGGTACCGAAAGCAAAAGACTTCGGAATTGAGTTTCTCTGACTGCCCTGTTCTGGATTAGATGGAACTCGTGGTGGGGGTTTCATGTCGAGGACTGCAAGGGGGTCGCTTGTCGGTGCTCGAGGATCGCTGTTGACAGCTGTCAATGGTAGAAGCTAGACCCTAGAGTGACTGGATTCGTTCGCTTGGTCGCTTAATCTGGCGTGTTTGATCAACCGGGCAGCTCAGAAACGAAACTTTATGCAAAGGAGAAGACCTCCAAGACCATAGACGCCTGCACATAGTCCGGACGCATACGTCTAGGGAATTAAGTACCTGCTAGGTACAAACTCTGTATCTCAGTGACTTTGCATGAGCATTGGTACCTGCAAATGCACGTCGTCGTAAGTCTGAACTTGTTGTGGCTGCCTGTCACGAGCACGTATCCGTACTCCGTAGATCACCATGGCTCCACGGCCAATGCGATCAGCCTACAAGGCTTTTGTATCCACCAGTTCTGGCTTCCGAAAAAGTATCCCAGCCTTGCTTGAGCCTTCCGAAGTCGAGAAGCTTTCTATGTGGACAGCTCGTGATGCAGGGTTAGCAATAGAGTTTTACCATTGCAATGGCACATCAGTTCAGTGGATTGAAAATCCCACTAAACGTGGCATCATCCCACACCCGAGCGCCCATTTCCTCCCTTGTCCGTGCTCAATTGTGGCCTCTGGGGACACCTCGACCTGCTTGAGCACGTATAGATATCTTGGTTGGAGCTTAGATTCTCGGCGGACACTGCCGGATATCATCAGGCACCGTCGAGTTGAGTTTTGTTCCCATTCTGAGGTATTAAAGTCATGCTGGAAAACCCTTGATACCCAAAGGGCGGGATCCATGATCAGCCTTGAAGACACACTCCATCCCCGATCGATGTCTTGCAGGTCAGATTGAATCTGGCCAAGAGATGACGGCGTGAATGAGCGGCGCTGAAGGCCTGGCCACATTCCTGAAACAGACGGACTCCTTCCTCTGTCTGAATTGTCAAAACTCGTTAACCTAATGTATGATTGGATCTCATTGGCGACATTTCCGCCATGGAATATTCGAGTGAGGCGGAAATGGTAAGGACATCAGTTAGTCATCATAATTGAGCGCCAAGGTGGACGGGCGTCTCATTTTCATGCGGGTGCTGTCAAGTGACATGTTAGGCACTTTAGGTACCTAGTCAACCCTGTAATAACTCGTAAATGCGCACACTCGTACCTCAGCTGCCTCGAGCTTCCTTGGAAACTTTGTTGGCCGTAGGTCGACGTAGGCCAAATACCTGATGTATGCCGTTGTTTCACTGTAATGGCAGTCACCTGAGTGAGGTTTTCCGTACAAGGCTCCCGACAGGGACCTTGCTTGACTCTAAGTACACCGGAACGTGCCCTGCATTGAGATGTTGTATTAGGCTGCCCAACGATGCCAACTTAGATATCAAGTGACGTTAATTTTAGACGTGTAGACGGGGCTTGGACGTCAGAAAACAATACAACGCTTCACAGCTGGTCTCCAGCGATAGCCTCTCAGTAAATTTGAATCTATCGCATCAGTCGGTCTGTTAATGTTGTCTGCAAAGAATTGTGATGAGTCATCCGAGGTTTTACCGATAACGAATGGTGGCTCGAAATTCTGGCATCAAAATACTTGGTACTAGTATTTTTATCATAATATAATCAAAACAGACAAGGTATTTTTGAAAAATAAGTCTATTTGGTTGTACATTGGTATTGAGACTCAGCCATGCCTTTCTCTCATCACAGTCACTCGGGACAGTTCTGTCCGGGCCATGCGCAGGATTCGCTAGAAAGCATCATTCAGGCGGCCATCTCCAAGAAAATGCAGATGCTGGCACTAACAGAGCACATGCCTCGGCATGAAATTGACCGATATCCTGAAGAATTGAGTGCAGGGACGACGCTGGATGCGATGACGGAGAACGAAAGGGCGTATGTGAGGGAGGCGACGTTACTTCGGGACAGATATCGAGGCCAGATTGAACTGGCGGTCGGATTCGAAAGTGATTGGATCAGGCCCGAGTCGGTGCAGCTCATCGACCAGAGCATCTCTACACATGCGTATGACTTGTTTGTAGGCTCAGTCCATCATGTGCACACGATCCCCATCGATTACGATAGAGTCATGTACGAAGACGCCCGGCAACAGGCCGGCGGAACTGATGAAAAGCTCTTTGAGAGTTACTTTGATGCACAACTCGACATGCTACAAGCAACCAAGCCCCCTGTGGTAGGGCATTTTGATCTCATCCGCCTCAAAAGCGACTGCCCCAACCCCAGTTTCCCGCAATTTCCCGGCGTGTGGGAACGTATCGCCAGAAATTTGGACTTTATCGCTTCTTATGGGGGCATACTCGAGCTCAACTTTGCGGCTGTGCGCAAAGGTCTCCTTGAGCCTTACCCGGTCTCGGACATATGCCAGGTAAGCCATTTGTTGTCTCCGTAGTCTAGCTGCCCCCACGATACCTCCTGACACACTTCTCAGGCTGCATCGAAGAGAAATATCCGCTTTTGCTTATCAGATGATAGCCATGGTATCGACCATTTGGCCCATAGCTACGACCATGTATTGCCTTTTCTTCGGAAAAATAGCATAAGGTCATTGACGGTGCTGGGGTCCAATGCAGACGGTGGTAACTACGGCGACAGGCGGTTTCCGACCCTTGAAGCCAGAGAGGTTGACGTGGACATCCTCGAGAAGCATCCGTTCTTTCAACATGCATGAGGATGTCTACCTTTGATTCGGAAGCGATAACTTCATCGTCGATGGGCAACTGACGCTCGAGAAGGAGCCTACAAGAGGAAGAAATCGTCGGCAACATGCTACCCTTTTGTGGGCCTAATCGTGTTGGAGACACGAGCAGATATATCGAAAGCACCTTAAACTTCTGTGTGCTGTAGCTTCCCTGACGTGGCAGTCAGCGTGTCGCAAGAATCATTGCTGCCACCCGCCATTAATCGCGACTTCGGTATGCTTAGTCGGAGCCGAGTCCTTGGGCCTCGAGTTCTACAAGATTGTTGGTCGCCGTTCTGTGCTGGTGCCGGGGATTGCAGGGTTGCAAGTCACTCCTCTAAGGGAGTGTTTGATCGGTACTAGGTACATAACAAGGACAATCCCTGCAAAATCCTTTGACTAATGATGAATTGTTCATGACCTTATTCATGCATTATGTCCAAGGGAGCATTTCTCTGTTTGACTAAAAAAGTATGTCTGTAAATGAATCTGGCTCGTGGTCCGTGGTGACATGCATGACCCAGATACACTAGATTCATTCAGAAAAATCTGGACACCAGACTATTGAGTCAAGAATCAAGTGTGCCAGCTGGTAAAGTATAAGGAGGTACAAGCTTGACTGCGAGGGGTCCCAGTACGAGTTTTAAGCCGACTATCTATGGTGGCTGGAATAGTATACCAGTCCTTGGGACGAATCACTGGCTGGCCGCATCCACCCCGTTCTCCGACAATGCGTAGGCTATGACTGGAGCAGCCGAGATCGCTTGTCGCAATTGGAGCGACGACGAACGAGATCTGGAGTGAGTAGAGGTTAGCGGTCCCAGCAGACGTTGGGCTCCCAACGGCTGTGTTTCGTCAACCCAAGAGACAGGGAAGACGAGATTTGGCGTCTGCGGCCGGCAGGCCCGAAGGGCCGCCTGCAAACACCGTTGTCACCTTGAGCTGATCACATCGCTGCCGATGTCGTTGCAGACCAGACCCCTTAGGCGATAGCAGGTGGTTGGCTGGACTGGTAAGCCTACGCATACGATGTCTCCGCCTGAATGGTCCCAGGACTGGCGCGAAGATGTTCGATGCCAACCACGATGAATTAAACCAATGATCTCGATTACATGAAGCACCCCTAGTAAGACCGGGATTAAGGGATCCGAGTCGACCCTGAGGCTGCGTTCTCATGCCATCCTGACAGGGTGCAAGGGCCGATGTACACCGCGCCCAGAGGGTGGTCAGTCGGCCACTTATGCAATGCCAAATGTCGCTGGAGATCGCGAGGCATTCGGCAGGTCTCGTCTTGTTGGAATCGGCATCCCGGGGACTCGATTTAGGGTGAGGGTGTCTAATGAACAGCGAAGGGTGACTTTGAACGAGTAAATGCCGAGCACGCGAACCAGACCCCAATCAATTATAGGCGGGTGGCGGAGGGTCCTTGGCTCCACTAATTATCAAGTGCAAGAGACAAGTTTTCTGATATTGATGGGCGAGTGATGTTGGATAGATGAAGCGTCATCGCGTTATCGTGAAGCAAAACCGTCTTTTTCTTTGCGTTGCGACAGCCCATCTGGTCTCTGTTACGAGCAAGGAGGTGGTATGTCACTCCGGCCTACGCCAAACACAAAAACGAAACAAAATACAAGATGAACCCACAGGATCTACCTCACATATGCACAAGTCGCAGAATTGGTCAAACTTTAGTGCCGCCCTGCTTGACACAGCGGGTGCCACTTGTGCAAAACTGAATAACATCAGCCAAACAGAGGTAGTCAATGCTTTCGCCACCGAGGGCATGTTTATGGGCAGGACAAATGGTCAGGGTGTTTGTACGCTGTCCTTGGATCGAGTGAACTCGAAACAAGAGGCCATTGTTGGGTGGCTAAGTGGCTACAAGACTCGGTTCCAAGGCGCAACATGACAGTGACACACAACTGGTGCGATTTGGAGCGGCTCAAGTATGCGAAAGGAACAATACTTGAGTTAGCTGCCTACGGTTGCCGACTGCAGGATCCGACGAGCATGAAGCCACCCAAGGATGTACCTAGGTACCTCTGAACAGGCTAGCAGGTATGCGTATCCCGTATGCGTACAGTAGTACTTGGTACTTGCAGCGCCACCGAAACAACCAGGCTTGGTGGATGTCCTTGGGCCCGAGGGCCCACTCACCATCCACAGTCCACTGCCCAACGCCCAGGCCGAAGACCGAGGGGAGGGGCCTCCTCGGGTGCATCGACCGGGTACGTGGGACGGATGAGAAGCTGGCGAAAAAGCTGCACTTTTTTAGACCAGGCGATCATTTCTAGTTGACATTTTTATTATTGCTGTTCCCCACTCATTTTGCCCCAGGACCAAGCACAGTAACTTGATTGAGAGTGGCCAAGAATGGGTTGGATCCCACGTGCGAAAATCATCCATCTTGGGGCTGGCGGTTGAGACGGTCGACGGTCGAGTGTCAGTCACAGTCGTATGTTCATTGAGCGCAATGCGTGGAGTTCTACTGTTCTACAGGCTACGGAGTACATTATTACAACGGAGGCGTACCAACGGTTTGCCTACGGCGGTTTGAACCCATGTCGTATCTAGAAACCTAACTCTCGGGACCTCTATTATTATGATTAATGTTCGGTTGTTCCTGCCTACACCATTGCCAGACTGGCCCCAAATCGTCAAAGCCCCGGTGCCAGGGACAGATGGCCTCTGTCCCTGGCATTCCATCATTCATCAGGCCAGTCGTAGTGGTGGTGGTCATGGTCATGATCATGGTCATGTCGGTCCCCAAAAGCAGAGAGACCCATCGACCCAACACCTACACCCATTCTGTAACTGACCGCCCCTCCTCAGGGCCACCAGCAAGCGACAAATGGCAATTTGCAACACGCATCTTGTGGGACAAGCTACAAATCACATCGGATCGAGCATGCCAAAGACGGTCAGTAACTGTCGTCATGGCAAGGCAAGCCTGATGGTCACGAGGCCTGAGGTCGCAGGGTCGTCCGAGGGTCTGCCTCACCTCTCAGGCTCCAATGTCAAATCTAGTAGTATCTAGTAGGTGGTGTAGTGGTGTGTGTCTATTGAGCCTCTGAGGCCCGAGCTCGTGGGCGGACAGCCGTTCACGTTCATGACGATGGGCGACAGATTTCAGAGATGTTGTGCAGATTCTTTCCTGTCGTTCTTGTTTAGGTTTTGGCCCAAACGCTCAAACGAGTGATGACGATTCCAAGTGACAGGTTTGACGTTTCCAAACTGGAAGTCGATGGGCCTACTTACTTAGTGGGTCAGGTCCCAGTAGCAAGTTCAGGCCTGGCAGTGCCTGTCGGCCGCTAAAGGCCAAGGGCCACATTCACCATTTCCAGGTGTCCCTGGCTGTCTTTTTTGTCTTCTTTCTTGCTGTCTCGCTCTGGCTGCATGCCTCCACCGCGTCTAAGCACGGCGCCCTCTCCACACAGTCTGGCAGTCAAGGCTCACAAACCACTCATGCCACTACTGTGAGTTACTACTACTGGCCTACTGCAGCTGCAAGTTGCTTTGGGGCGTCCCCGTGGCCCGAGGGGCCCCCTCCCCATCCTCCCGATGCAGTGGTGCCCCCTGTTCCGATGTCCTTCCCCCCCTGCTCGCCTCCCGCCTACGCATATGCGGATGGGTACGGTATGCGTATGCGTATGCGTATGTGTCCATACCTGCCGATACGCATACGCTTTCGGCGCATCCTACATATGCGTAGGCACCTACAGACACACCGGACCCCATAGGATGTAGGACTACTTACAGTCTACAGCCCCTGGTAACCCTGAGGCCTGGCAGTACATGATTCATGGAACATCCCCTCTCTCTGGACCATGATACCCTGGGCAATACCCTGGAGCTAACCCCAAGCAGAGTAGAGCTGGGTTGACCGCATCCGGATTTGCACCAATGCACCCTCGCCCCACCGACCCAGATCCCTATCTCAAAGTTAGCTTTGACCCAAGAGGCTGACACCAAACTCAAATGACGAACGTCTGTGATACCGCGAATCTGCGAGCCGCAGAATGACATGATGCTGGATAGACGTTATCAATTTACAGTGAGCACCGCTTTTTTGCACTCGAGGCTTTGTGTGCCACGCTCGACTCGACTCGACTCGACTTGCTGGCGCTGTCTATACCCATCGCTCGAGCCCAATTCAGTCTGTGCCTCTGGGTCATGCTGCCACTGGCGCAGTCCAATCATCTGGCGTCCCCGCGGCGCTTCTCTTTCGTCTATTGTCCGCTGTCTGCTGTCTGCCGTCTGCCGTCTGCTGTCTGCTGTCGGTTACTGTCTGATGCCCGACGACTCGACTCGCACGCTCCTTGGTCCGTCTCCATGTTTGCCGTCAGGTTCCTTTGCAGTTCATCGATGCCGCTTGTAGTCCAGAAGAATGTCGATCTTTTCCGAAGTATGAATTATTACCTCATTCGGCCCCTTCCCTTGCCCTTGTGCTGCTCTTCTTGCTTCTGCCCCGTGGCTTTGTTCTCTCATTCTTGCCTGTATTCTCGGTGACGCCTCAACTGCCATCTCGCCCTCCCTGCCAAGACACCCTCTCGCCGCCCTCCTCCACTATAAACCATCCCTCGTACTTTTCTCCAGTCCCCATCATATTTATCCTTGGGTCCCGGATCTCCAGATGTTAAGACTATAGTATAGGTCATCTCTTGTTGCCGTCGTCTCCGCCACTCTCGCACCATCAACAATACGACCACGCTCTCTAGCTGCTTTCCCTTCCACACTCCTTTGTCCCCCTTCCCCGGCCTCAAAGCATGGCAGTCAGCCTCCAGAAACGAATTCTCCGACCGGGCAATGGCAAAGACTACCCCCGGAAACTGGACGAAGTAATCATCGAATACACTGGTTGGCTCCATGACGCAAACTTGGCTGATCAGGGATATAAAGGCGAAGAGTGAGTAGTTCCTTAGCTGGCTCTCCCTATGCCATTCCCACCCTCCACAATGCTTCCAACTCATAACGCTGACGACCAGATTTCTCAGGTTCGATAGTTCAGCTGGTCGTGGCGAGTTCAAGATTCAGATCGGGGTGGGCAAAGTCATCCCAGGTACGAACTTGACTTTGGTCCCGATTGACTCGATCAAACCAACCGCTAACCTTTCGTGTTCCCTCACCCAGGATGGGATCAATTGGTTCCGCAGATGTCTCTGGGCGAAAAGGCAACCTTGACGATACCTGGGTGAGTGACTGTCCGAGCTGCCCCTGTCTGGTTCTCGATCGTTTGCTACGTCTTTGTGCCCACATTCCATTTGTGATACCTGGAGGATTTGTGTGTTGGTTTTTCAGCCTTGTCCAGCACTGGACCCCACCCTGAATGCTTTTCGCTGACAGAACTTTCTTCCAGACACCTTGCATATGGTACTCGGTCAGTATTTTCACCGCCGTGCGAGAAATTCAATTCTCCGAGCGCAATACGAGTCTTGCATTTACTGACAGTTTACGGGCAATAGTGGTTTCCCTGGTCTCATCCCCAAGAATGCCACTTTAATCTTGTAAGTCGGCCTAATGCCTTTGCTCTGTGGCCAACCTACGGATCTCTGACGATTCCCCTGCTAGTGATGTCTATCTCAAAGGTATCAACAAACGAATTTCGTGACAAAGCGAGAATCTGCGTAGTCGCGGATCAACTCTGGGAGGCTCTTTTGTTTCAGTTTGCAGATGCATCGTTCATTTTGCGACGTGACAGCGTTTGGGTGGCTTGAGTCTCTTGAATATCCACCAATTTCGGAGTTGCATCAACGGATCAAAAAGGTCACGAGGTTGTGTGACTTTATGGAATTGGGAATGTTTTTCAAGCATGGAAACTTGATGTTTTCTGCAACGTGGAATGGGAACAAGGAGCACACATGCTACAGGTAGCACTTTTTGAGGGTTGTCGTTTTGCGTCAGAGGCGCCCATGTCGAAACAGTACTCGACATGGGCACCCGAGTTATTCTTGGTTCGATTCTACAAGGGCCGCGTGGATCTGAGGGATGGCAGACGAGGCAGCATGATTCAGATACACGCACGCACCTCTGGCCCATAGGCCTCGGCGGTGTGCGCGTAAACCAGATCCGGACTGGACGATGTCGAATCAGTCACAGACGATGTTGGACAGAAGGATCTTGACAGATGTGTGAAGAAAGAAGCACAAATGGGTATGGCATGATCCGAAGCATTGAGCATAGAGCATCAGGCGTCAAACATGCAGCATGTCGGAAGGCGGCGATCGCAGCGTTGCAGTCTGTACATGTGTGCGTGACCTCGAGGCCGCGATAGATAGCATCCGGTCGGAGCCACGTCCTGATTATGTCAGAGTACAGACAGGCCCCCCCGAGTGCAGAATCCAGAAGACCGGTTGCGCATGGTGCCTGACCTAGGAAACATTTCGTTTGACCCATGCATTTTTATGTTCCCTGCTTGTTTGTATCCAGATCCTGACTGGGGGGTGGGACAATCTACAGCTCACGGGTAGCCGCACGGTGTTTGATGAATTGCACTCCCACAACAACCATCAATACCACTCGCTAACCCACCGCCATGACTACCCATCCCCTCTTTCTCCTCTTGCTGACTTGCCGCAGCCGAGTACAAAGATCTGGTGTCCGAGGTCAGCCAGGCAGGCATCGACCTCGACCAGAATGGCCAATTGATTGGACTACAATTGGGATTTACCATCTTAGGCTATCACGGCTCTGCAAGTCTTCCCCTCTCTACTTTCCACCCATACGACGGCCTGGGCTGTGTGGGTGGTACCGAACTGCTCCGAAGCCTGGGGGATGCATGATGCATGCGAGGACAGGTAGCAGCACCAGCACAAGTACCAACAGTAGTAGAAGCACGTAACAACACCATGTTCGCTCTGCATGATATCAGCTGGCTCGTCCGGAACTTGGGACATGTAACTAAACTTCGCTGAGTCGCGGTATAGAGCATCCGGGGTCGCTAGCATACTGGTGGACATTGAATATTATAATTGCTACTTTAGCTCCAGAGTCCACCATTATTGACCACGCATACGCATTACTTTAGGACATACTCATTAGGCAAACAGTTCACGCGGATATGTATCTCCATGTGCGGTTTCTTTTTGTGTAGCAACAGGTAAGGTAGTTCTGGTGTCTTTTTGTCGACACACCCTCCTGAGATCTCCATGCCTTGGCCCTCAAGAAAGTCTTGTCACCATTTCCTTGTTGGGAGCCCGGATTGGAGGGGTGATTGTAGTCCAATACCAAAAGAGAGCTCACGCGAGACGGGCGCACTCGGATTCAGAAAGCCTGCGGGAATGAAGAGGGGAGAGGGTTTTACCCATCTCAGCTGGTCGTGGACCACGGTGGTGGGTGTAGTAGTGCCAAATCCTGGCTCCCTGGTGTGCCTGGGCTGCTAGGCTGTCAAGATCGCTGCATCCATGTCCATCATTTGTCAGACATCCGGGCAGGATCTTGCATTTCCCTGGTCACAGAGATGATGAAAAAAGAATGTCGTACGCATGGTGGCATACTACAGCCGCAGCCAAGCATCCTAGCACCATCCTAGTAGTGAGATTCAACCAGGGTGTTCCACTGTCTTTGATGGCGTGGATGGGCACCCGACGATTCGGCTAATCCATCCTTCTTAGTTAATCAATCCTTCTGTCGGTTAGACGAAGACTTGGGACTTGGGGCAACTCGGGTCCAACTGACCGAAGTGAGTGTGGTGCCCTCGTGGCCCGTGGGCCATCGCCCATCACCCATGGAACTACTCCGTACGTATTTTACGCATCTGGTCAGAGGTCTCCATCTGTGCCCACCCACACCCCTTCATCGAGAAGGCATGTTTGTGCGCCCAATTTGGACTTTTCGGATAGGTATTTCTGTAAAAGAACAGATTGTTTCGTTTTATTACATCCCCACCCTCAGGTGATGTCTTTTGCTCGGTTTTGACACACGCTCGAGTCTTCCCCCGGTGAAGCGAGCTTTCGTCCTGGGACTGGGGGAAAAGCAATACGAGTTGGGCCCTGCTGTGCGGCTCGTCAATTTTTATTCGGCTGTCCTCCCTCTAGTCTGGCTGGTACCACTGGCTTAACTTGGGTACCCAAATCAAAGCCTCGCCCGTACATACGCAGATGTGTAAGGATGTCCTCCTTGGCATAGTCCCCGCGTTGGACGAAGATCTGAGATGATCGGCACTTGTATCCTCCCACGGGCGCCTGTACCAGGGCCATGGTCAAAATGCGGGCCCCTCGGCCTGTAAGACTTCCTGCTTCTCATTGACCAACCCAACAGCTTCTGTGGCTGTACCCCCAAGAAGCCCCCCGTCCTTCGGCGCTGATTTTCGCCGACTCTGTATGTGAATGCACGAGGTACGCATAAGAACCAAAACTTGTACCTCCCACGAAAGTGGTGACATCAGATCTTTCTCAGATCTTTCTCAGATCCTCGGCCCCTTGTTGTCATACCTTCTCAGGTCATTCTACTTGACAGATATTCTGGTGTTGAGAAGGACGGTGTCGTTGACTATCAAACGTCAAGATTTTTCTCGTTGATCTGACCGACAATCTTACCACTGTGTTTTCGGCTTGGACAAGGTTTAAACTACTGCGAGATCATGCATTTTCCCTTATGGGAGACGCAGTTGATAACCGGCTTTTGTTACCGCCAACATGAACAGGACTAAAGATATCACATGATTACATCATCTGGCGTAGACGATCCCATTTTCCTAGTCGTCCCTCGTCCCTGTTCCACTGGACAAAAAAACATCATACGTGTTTTCATGACTCGCAGCACGTCACTCTGGCGCTTTTCTTTTCGTTTCTTTAAAAAATACTTTATAGGTCAACGATGGAATATCCATGACAAAGCCTGTGCAAAAGTGACAGTGACACACGCGACACATGTCAATATGACTACCAACTCATCAGACCGAAGGACTCGCCTATTATGGCTTCGTCTGGGGCTAGGCAAAGGAAAAAGTCACCTGGAGGCCAATGATTACTACAGGGCCTATACAATTCTTACTGGATTGGGAGGGTTGATAGAGAGATGAGATGAGGTGGACGGATCTTGTCTGGCTTGAGGCTAGTAAACCTTGAGAAGACGACCCAGACCAAAGACGCCCCTCCATTTTTCTGTTTTGCCTTTTGCACTTCAGGCGCGCCTTCACCGCCTTCTGGATGAGTGACCAGTGGCATTTGCAAGATCACCACCGCGTGACTGTGTGGAGAAAAGAAACTATATACAGATCCAAGCATACACGGAGCCACCAACTTCGAGAGCGGGATAGAGGACAAAAGTAAGGCGCAGATCAAAGTAAATGTCGAATTTGCCCATGATCGACTGGCCGCCCACTCCAAACTTACCCTCGTATCGCCCTTGCCCCCCCCCTGGCTTGAATATTCAGATAGCCGTTGACCAGGCGTGTTAAGCGTGAACTTAAAACCCACGCCAGATTCATGCTTTCCCTATTCAGAGAAAATCGTCCGGGAAGGCTCTGTTGTGCACAAAGTTTGATGGCCTGCATCGGCAGATCTAGAAGCTTTTGGTGCCCGCGCCCCCCTTACCTACAAGGTTACTCGTAAGGATTCTCCCACTTGAGAAATTTGAGAATTCCTCATTGCTCGTTGGTCCATTACGCCCGTATACATTACCACCTTCCCTGGATGCCGTTGCTCTGCCGTGACTCCAAAGTTAGGGCCCATTAGCCAATCTATCTCGCCTGTGTCAAGATGCGTTGTTTGCTTGTAACAAGGCGCTTGAAATTTACTCGCTTCTTCCCAGTGACTCTCACCTTTCCATCGAGCGTTGGCTTAGATTGGTGATCCAAACATATTACTTATTGGACAGTAGTCTCAAACCCCCAGAGATCTCAAAGGAGGTCCTGGAGATCGGATCGCGTAACCTTGGCTGTCAATCCTGTCACGGGTGGGTTTGTATCACGCAAGGGAGAGGGGCAAAGAGGCATGTCACTACCCGTCGTCCAAGGTACCACGAGGCTTTCACGTAAAGTACTCCATAGGCATCCGACAACGAACTGGGTCCTCATGCAATTCTATCATTCGTTCGATTTCGGATGTCATCGATTGACATGGGAGACTTCTCCACTGACCAACGGCAATTCGTATCAATTCAGCTGGATTAAAACCCCATGAGCCATTTGCTCAGCTTGGATTGAACCACCACCAGTACTGCCATCATCGCCCTGGCGACGACTGGTGGGCACGGCATGGCCTCATCTTGCTGTCGAGACGGCATCCAGGTTATCCACATCAAATCGGTATTACATGCTTGACTTTGCGGTTCGCATCGACAACCAACCTCAACTGCTTCCCACGCCAATCTGGATCTTGCATGATGCCCCTGAAGACTCCACTTCTCAGTGTGTCGGTGTACAGCTCGTAGGCGGGATAGTAGCCGTCGACAAAGTGTTTGACCTCATCGTCTGTCATGCCGGACCCCTTTGCGGCTCGTAGACCTGCTTCTTGCTGCAGCCTCCACTTGTACACGTACTGAGGGTCGGCGGCGTCAATGTGGATAAAGGCATCCAGCTGCGACGTGAGTTGGTCGTAGCTCTTGAGCGCCTCGTTGATGGTCTTGACACTTTGCAAAGTGTTGTGGCCAAGGCGACCAAGGTAAGGGGTGTCTGTCGTGGCATTGCGGCACGCCGTCACCGCCTCTGCATGCTTCTTCTTAAGATCTTCATCCTCCAATGGTCGGAAGCCGACCGACCAGCCCTCAAACAAGACAACTTGGACTCTGTTGGACGGGTCGCTGTTGACTTGCTCCCACTCTGATGCTGGTACCCGGTCGCCTTGGCCTGAAAAAAGTGCCTTGTTGTACTGAGGGATCTTCGTCGGTCGGTTGGCCTTCAAGTCCGCAAAGACTGACAATCCCAGCTGCACATCGTGCGTCGATGGTTGGCCCCGGTGCTGGAGTAATGGATTGTCAGGGTTTGCCCGGGCCAATGCCACCTGGTCTTCGTGCGTCAGATACAGGTCATCCAGCGAAAACACTGCCGTGGACAATCGATGTGGCTCGGACCGTAACGTCGACTTGAGGATGTCCACAAGCACTGATTTGCCCGCTCCTTGCACTCCATTGAGTCCGATGAAGAACGGCGGCGGATTCGGTGACGATGAGTGCTTCTTCCGATGCTGGTCAAGCAGTGGAAGAATGAAGGGGATCACGTGCTCCGCCTTGTCGTCGTTGATCTGGCCCATCTTTGGTGCTTTTTCAAGGATTCTGGAGATATTGATGGATGTGTCAAACTGTTTGAGTCAAGACTATCTCATTTTCACGAGCCTAGTCGACAACATATACCAATTCATGAGCAGCCCCTCGGCCCCACAGAGATATTCGACAGTATTTGTGATGGAAGCTGACAGCTGTGTTGCGGACAAACCTTTCTCCGGGGCAAATACTCCGTATGTTGCGGTCCGCAGAGGAAAAAATCCCGTGACCTGAAGACTGACGGCAGGTTGACCGTAGGAGAGAGTTTCTCAACTCAATCACGCTGGAGATACGGTCTACTCACCGGTGACGATCCAGCCATTGGTGTTGTTAGACACACCGTCGATCATAATAAAGTGATTGTCCACCACATCAGCTTGTCTTCCAACGTCATCACTGTCCTTGACATGGTTACACGGCAACAAGACTATGATTCACCCTAGGTGCACGTGATCTGAGCGTTTGTTGAGCGAGAAGGCTGGCCGAGGTGTCCCTTGACATTCTGGGACAGCAAATGAGAACTCTGGAATGTTCAGCTGGAAGATCTCGATCCTTCTACCAGGAAGAACCCGTGACACCGAGGCAAGTTGCACATGCCGAGATTTTCACAGAACAGTGGTTGCGGAGGCACGGAGAGGGAGAGACCCGGAGTTGAGTTGTGGAGCGAACGCATCCGTGAGTCTCAGTTGAGTTTTGACGGTTATTTGACTGACGAAATCGTGGGGCTGGACAACTTTGGCGCCAAGACAATTACTTTCTGTCAGTCACGGATAATACTTGGTCAACTGCTGTGGGGAACAACTATGGCTCTCCGCTAAAACCCATTCACATCACATGCCGTGATTCTGTCTGACAGAAACCATTTCTTCCTCTTTCGTCCAATTCACGTGACTTGTGCCTCGGTACTTGGACGCCTCGGCCGTATGCGCCCATTCATCTTTGGGTTCGGGCTTGGAAGACGTCCTTCGTCGTCGATAATCCAACTTGAACCATCCTCACCCTGCCGGATCCAAATTTCGGCAGTCCTTTTCATCCTTCTCTTTCTTTCCATATACAATCTCTGTCATTTCCCATCTCATTGAGTCGGTTGCATCAGGATCGTCTTCCTTGGGTCATCCTCTCCCTTGCACAGTACCCTTCACACCCTCCACCTCCTACACGATCCTGCCACAACAATGGGTCAAGAATTGAGATTTGACGGCCAGACCGTTGTCGTGACTGGTGCTGGCGGTGGCCTAGGAAAGCAATATGCTCTCTTCTTCGCCTCGAGAGGCGCAAACGTCGTCGTCAATGACTTGGGTGGCTCTTTCAAAGGTGAAGGCGCCGGCTCAAAGGTATGTAAACATTATCACATGCTCGGTCCCAACTTCCCCTCAATCAGAGCTGACTTTCTTTCTCAGGCCGCAGATGTCGTTGTAGAAGAAATCAAAGCTGCAGGCGGCAAAGCTGTCGCCAACTACGATAATGTCATCAACGGTGACAAGATCATTCAGACCGCCATCGATGCCTTTGGTCGGATTGATATCCTCATCAATAACGCCGGTATTCTGCGTGATATCAGCTTCAAGAACATGAAAGATACCGATTGGGACCTTATCACAGACGTCCACATCACCGGACCCTTCAAGACTACAAGAGCCGCATGGCCATACTTCCGTAAACAAAAGTTCGGCCGAGTCATCAACACCGCATCTGCCGCCGGTTTGTTTGGTAGCTTTGGACAGTGCAATTACTCCGCTGCCAAACTCGCCCAGGTTGGTTTCACCGAGACCTTGGCCAAGGAAGGCGCCAAATATAACATTGTCTCCAATGTCATTGCTCCTATCGCCGCCTCCCGCATGACTGCAACCGTCATGCCCCCTGAGGTTCTCGAGCAACTGAAGCCCGAATGGGTCGTTCCCCTAGTCGCTGTGCTGGTGCACAAGTCCAACACCACTGAGAATGGTTCCATCTTCGAGGTCGGTGGCGGCCACGTTGCTAAGCTCCGCTGGGAACGCGCAAAGGGTCTCACTCTGAAGGCTGATGCTTCATACACTCCTAGTGCCATCCTGAAGCGATGGTCTGACGTCAATGACTTTTCCGTTCCTGAGCATGCCAGTGGTGTTGCCGATATGGTCACCAAGCTCGAGGACTCGCTCAAGATCAAGACCAATGAACAAGGACCCGAAATTAGATTCGATGACAAAGTCGCACTGGTGACTGGTGGTGGTGCTGGGTGAGCCTTCCTCTGTTTTAGTACTGCTTCGATCAACTTGCTAACAAGTTTCTAGCCTCGGTCGAGCCTATGCGCTTGCATTCGCTAAGCTCGGCGCCAAAGTCGTCGTTAACGATCTGGTCAACCCCGACACTGTCGTCAATGAAATCAAGGCTCTTGGTGGACAGGCTGTCGGCAACAAGGCTTCAGTTGAGGACGGTGATGCTGTCGTCAAGACCGCCATTGATACCTACGGAAGAGTCGACATCCTCATCAACAATGCTGGCATCCTCCGCGACAAGGCTTTCACGAATATGACCGACGAGCAATGGCACGTCATCATGAATGTTCACTTGCGAGGCACTTACAAGGTCTCCAAGGCTGCCTATCCCTACATGGTTAAGCAGAAGTACGGTAGAATTATCAACACCACCAGCACCAGTGGTATCTACGGAAACTTTGGCCAAGCCAACTATGCCGCAGCGGTATGTTTGTGATATTCTCTCCAAGAACCTCAACTAATTCAAGACAGAAAGCTGGTATTCTCGGATTCTCGCGTGCCCTTGCACTGGAAGGCCGCAAGAACAATATCTTTGTCAACACAATTGCCCCCAACGCCGGCACTCAGCTCACCCGAACTGTGATGCCTGAAGAGTTGGTGCAGGCTTTCAAGCCTGAATACGTCGCGCCTCTCGTGCTCCTCCTGTGCTCAGACAAGGTGCCCGACCCACCAACCGGTCTCCTCTTCGAGGTCGGCAGCGGCTGGCAAGCTCGAACACGATGGCAACGATCTGGCGGTGTTGGCTTCCCCATTGATGTCAAGCTGACCCCCGAGCACGTTGCCGAGAAATGGGCCAAGATCCTTGACTTTGATGATGGCCGCGCTGATCACCCCGAGGGAGGCCCAGACGGTCTCCGTGGCATCATGGCCAACTTGCAGAACAAGAGCAACAAGTCCAGCTCAAGCTCCAAGGTGGATTACCTTGCCAACATCGAGCAGGCCAAGAAGGCAAAGGCAAAGGGCACCGAGTTCTCGTGGGATGACAGAGATGTCATTCTCTACAACTTGTCTTTGAACGCTAAGAGAACCCAGCTGCCTCTGGTCTACGAGAACAATGAAGACTTCCAGGTCCTTCCTACCTTTGGTGTCATCCCTCCCTTCAATGCCGAATCTCCCTACAGCTTTGACGACATCCTACCCAACTTCAGCCCTATGATGTTGCTCCATGGTGAGCAGTATCTGGAGATCCGCAAGTTCCCAATCCCCACAAACGTCAAGACAGTCAGCTTCCCCCGTCTCGTCGAAGTGGTCGACAAGGGCAACGCTGGATTGGTCACCTCCGGTGTCACCACCAAAGACGCCAAGACCGGAGAGGATCTCTTCTATAACGAATCCACTGTCTTTGTCCGTGGATCTGGTGGTTTCGGCGGCCCCAAGAAGGGTGCTGACCGTGGCAATGCCACCACCGTTTACTCACCCCCCAAGCGTGCTCCCGACGCCGTGGTCGAGGAAAAGACAACCGATGACCAAGCCGCCCTCTACCGACTGAATGGTGACCGCAACCCTCTTCACATTGATCCCGAGTTCAGCAAGGTTGGTGGCTTCAAGGATCCTATCCTCCACGGTCTTGCCTCGTTCGGTTTCAGCGGTAAGCACATTGTGCAAACCTATGGACAATTCAAGAACATCAAGGTCCGCTTCGCTGGTGTTGTCATTCCCGGCCAGACCCTCGTCACCGAGATGTGGAAGGAGGGCAACAAGGTCATCTTCCAGACCAAGGTTAAGGAGACTGGCAAGTTGGCCATTGCAGGAGCTGGCGCTGAACTTAGAGGAGGACCTAAGCCGAAATTGTAGACATATATAGCATCTGAAAGCCTCTGATTATGTAGGGTTAAAAGGTACGCTTTGAAGCTTTGTTTGACAGGGGCTTTTCTGTCTGTCATACTTTGCATTTCAACATATGACTCTCAGTTTGTGTAACTTCATAAGAAGAATATTTGATATCTGAGGCTGAGAAGTCCGTGCAACGCCTAAAAGCGGACATGTCCGGGGGGCAAAAATAATTTCTAATATAATGTTGAACCCCCACAAATAGCTACACTTTTGCTCGTCAAACCACGCAGAGTTGATGCCAACTCTGTCCACAGGCTCAATGGTCTAGGTTCGTGTTATTACTCTCGCCTATAACGAGATATACTTATAATGATACAGTGGTATGATTGTCGCTTCGGGTATGCCTTTGGTTGAAAAAGCCAGAAATGTGACAGGTCTCGGGTTCGAATCCCGATTGAGCCCATTGTTTTTGCAATTTTTTGAGTGTCACATGTCGGAAGGGAATGAATAGGGCAAATCAAGAGCACATAAGGACTGTTAGATACCTTGATAGCAATAGCAATATTGTCGCACTTCCAAGTACTACTTTACCCTCTTGCTGAGTGTACCCCAGTACTGAGACAAAACGACGTCAACTGGCCTGGAAGGTGTTCGTAGGCGGCGTTCTTGGGAAGGTGGGGTTAATTGAACCTACGCATATCATTATTATTAGCCAGCTACGACTGTTGATGCAACTGACTCACTTTGTTCTCCAAAAAGTATGGCCACCCGGAATTCCGTGTCTCAACCAATCTTGTCAGCCTCACTTTTCCCAGGAGCAGACCAACAATCCTCCATAATGACCTCGACCTTTTGAAACAGACTTTGAAACCGACTTTGAATTCTCCCGTGATCATGTCGACCGACCGCCCTCAATTGATGTGATATGTGATGTGGCTTTCCTCGAGCTCCTCCAAGCGCTCTGCTAAATCGACATCCTCTCCTCGTCCCACCTCTCCCAATTCGTCAGCCTCCCGGGCGACATCACCCGGATCTGCGCTCGCCGAAGTCCTTCGCAAGAATCCTTTCCGTGCCGCATCAAGAGAATCGGTAGTGATAGACCAAAAAGAAGATGAATCAGTCCAGTTGAACAAGGATCTGCTGGTACTGGCTGATTTCTTTCCAGATGTCAACGTCGAGGTCTTTCGAGAACTTCTGGTGAGATTCGACGGCGACAGCAGACTTCCCCTTTGCATCGAACAACTATACAAGTACAAGACAGAATGGGCCCGTGGTCGCTGGAGTGTTCCCCCAAGGGACCCTGACCATGCCATTCCAGTCGAGGAGCAATTCCGAACAAAGACTTATACTGATGCGGTCAAGCGCACTGTCACTCGAGAATTCAGCAGCCTCAACACCAGTGCCATCGATGCGGTTCTTGCAGAAGTGAATAACTCTTATACCAACGCGCGTCCCACGCTACAAAGATTGGCCAACAAGACTTGGAAGTCGACTTTCACCGGCATCTTCAGAAAGAGGAAATCCCTCTCTGAACCCTCGTCGACTCTTCTGGACAAGTCCAAACTTGAAAATGGCACAGTGCGATTCCTCGCCACAGGTTGTCCCGAGTTGGATCATGAACTGGCACGTTTGTTCTTGGTCGCCCCGCCTCTTCCACTCAGGGGCAGAGATCAACTTGCAATTGATCTGGAATTGGCAGAAGCCATCAATTTACAGGAAGCTGAAGATGCTGGCGCTCTTTACGAATGCAAGGTCTGCTACAACGACATCACTTTTGAGAATTTGTCTGCCTGTTCACTAGATGGCCACGTTGTGTGTCTGGACTGTGTGAGAAGAACACTTAATGAAGCCCTGTTCGGACAAGGCTGGGCTAGGTCTATCGACGTAGGAAGGGCCACCTTGAAATGTCTGGCATCTGATGACTGTCAAGGAGCCATTCCTGCGGCCCTCGTCCAAAGATCGCTTTCCAAAGAGAAATCTGCGTCTGAAGTCTGGTCCAAGTTCGAAGAGCGCCTTGCCGACCACTCCCTCCAAGCTTCTGCAATGCCCTTGGCTCGATGTCCATATTGTCCCTACGCCGAAGCCGATAGAGCCTACCATGACAGAAGCTACACATCCACCTTACGATGGCGCCTGCGCAGGCCGAGGGACATCAGCACACTTGGCTTCATTCTCCTGCTTGAATTATTACCAGCTTTGCTTTTCGTCATGATACCCCTCCTTGTACTGTTTCCAAAGACTTTCACATCATTATTCTACACTGCTCTCGGTCATCTTGCTCTCCATCAAAGAACCACTAGGTTTGTTTGTCGACGCGAATCATGTGCGCGCAAGTCGTGCCTCGAATGTCTCAAAACCTGGCACGACCCCCATATCTGCCACGAACCCCTCATCATCTCATTAAGGACCACGGTGGAAGCGGCACGGACAGCCGCCGTAAAGCGGACATGTCCTCGCTGCGCAACCTCTTTTGTCAAGTCGTCAGGTTGTAACAAACTGACCTGTGTCTGTGGGTATAGCATGTGCTATCTCTGCCGAAAGAATATCGGCAAGACTGGCGTTGAAGGAGGCGAAGGTTACAGACATTTCTGTGAACACTTCCGTCCTGTACCCGGACAAAAGTGTCTGGAGTGTGACAAGTGTGATCTCTACCATGCAGAGGACGAAGACGCAGAAGTGAGACAGGCAGGGGAAGAGGCCGAGCGACTCTGGCGCGAAAGAGAGGGCATGGTGGATGTCAAGGGCCTCGAAGACGCAGTTGGCAATATCGCTGGTCAGGATGACTTCTGGACTCGCCTTCTCAATGGGAAATGGTCGGTTCAAGGCACTGTGGATTGGGTTGTCGAAAGATGCATTGTCCTTGAATCTGATTGATTGATTCGCTGATCAACATAAGACTGTACGACAGATTTGTGCCTACGCTACACACACGCTACAGCTACACGCAAGTAGAGCAATGATGAAATGACATGACTTGACATGATTGTCTTTTTTTGTCTCGTTTCGTTTAGGACGACCTGTCTACATCGCACATAGCGCACCACAATCACTGTGGCTAAGAGCACCTTGTGCAACAACAGGGTGATCGATATCTTCTCTCTGCTCGATCTGATCATGAATTGACATCTAGTCGTCTACTTCCTAGTCGTCTTAGCCTTACATGTCTTCCCAAGTATCTGAGTCGTCTGGGCCGTATGGGTCGTATAAGCCGTATGAGTCGTCTACGTCGAAACCGAAATTGCGAATTGGATCGTCCGGCCATTCTGGCCAGTCCGGCATTTCTGGATCGTCTGAACGGTTTGAACCGTCAGAGTCCTCTGAATCGTTAGAATCGTCTGAATCATCCGAGTCCTCGGAACGATCCTCCGAGTCCTCCGAATCATCTGAATCATCTGAATCATCCGAGTCGTCTGAATCTTTGGAATCGTCCGAATCTGTCGCTCGTTGGGCTCTTTCTAGCTCCCGTCGCTTTTTCATCTCGGCCCGTTGCTGCTCTTCGCGCCTCATGACTGAAGCGGACAGTTCCCAGCGAACAAGTTCTTCCTCGCAAAGGATGCTCTTCAAAGACACCTGGCTCTCGACAAACTTGAAGTGATCGAAGTAAAGTTGAATGATGACCGGACGCATGCCTTGGTCGTGTGGACTGATGACCTTGAGAATGTATCTCAGGGTCTTGGGCGCCTCGTCGCGCTCATCCTCCATCATGCGTGTTACTCTACTTGTAACCCTATGGGCAGCTAAGTAGGTCAACGCCTCGAAATCCAACATATCCGAAAGTTTGTATACGAGTGTATTGATTCGTATGGCTTCGAGTACTGGGTTGCCAACGAGTGCAAGAGAAAGTGTTGCCTCACTCTCGTCACTTGACGTGTCGGACATATCGCTTCGCCCATCCCCATCCCCATTCCCATCCCCATTCCCATCGCGTGGGTCCGCATCCAAGGTGATGCTGTTGTTTTCGATATTGCTGCTCTCGTCCTTATTGTCCACCTTTGCCATCTTGCAGTCTTTCTAGAACTGAGGGATTTTGCGCTCATCGTAGTCATAGGTGTACAGGTATTCGAGCATTAGTGCCATGATTTCGGGTTCCACTTCGGGAAACTCGATTTTTCCTTCGACGGCTTCCTGTTGAAGACTGTCAGTTGCCATGTCTGAACCCAGGATAGATCGAGAGATAAAAATCAAATAGTTTGTGGTTCAATAACGAAATGGACTCACCTTGAATCGGCCACTGCAAGCCACGTCGAGCACTTTTGGCCCAGCACACACAACGATGCGATGGACTTTGAACTCATATCCACCACGACAGATGATGGTCAAGTCGGAATATTTTCCAGTTTCAAGGAATTTCAAGACCTGGGCGGATCTTGCGCCAAGCTTGGTGCCTTCGTATCGGCTGGATGGTCTTTGTTTGTAGGGGTTGGGTTGTCGACACCACATTGTTGGTCCAGGAAATTCTGGGACTTGGTTGATGGCACACTCGCAGTTTCTTAGAACAGACCAACACCTCGATTCAAGTGTTTTGCCTTCTGGACTTGACGCGTGAATTAGTGCTTAGGCAGTTTTGGCGAGTGAGGTTACTCTAGTGAAGGAGAGCTGGTGAAGGTGAAGTCTAAAAGTGAAATAAACCATCGACCATCGTAATTTTGTAATCGTTATTCGATACATGTAAATCACATGTTTCCGCAACGAGTAGTAGGCGGAAGGGAGCAGATTCCCTTTGACCAGTAAACCATACTGAAGTTCTCCCATGGTCGCTGGTTGATCACAGATGAAACACAAATAGGTTTTTCGATATGTGACAAGAACTGCCAACAGATGCTCATTGTAGATTAATTAACAAATCCTAGATGTGGGATACACACTGGGTGACATTCATTTCATCGGTTGAACGGCGCTCAAACTCTTTCTCATTTCTTGCCTGTCTCATAAGCATTCCTCACTCTGCCTCGCATTGGAAAACGCTCATTGAGGATTGCTTGCTCCGTCGCACTAGTTATTGACAAACCTGGCCCATTCGTACAAGGGATGGCTGTAGGGGTCAACGAATCTCTGGAGCTCTCTATCGATGATCGTCCAGTTTCGACGCGTAGTCTGCTCCTTGATTGTGAACCAAGCTCCTGTCCCTCGGAATTTGTCTCCAATTCGATCAATTCCCCCATTTTGGCAACAGTTCCCGTACGTTCGCGTAGAGCTTTAGGTCCAATCTTCCTCACCCACCCTTCCAGAGTACCGCCTAGATCAACCAGTCCGGAACTGTTTGAGCGGGTGCTACGTGACGAGTCAACACTTGCCCGTGGGGTGGCACGTGGAGTTGGTCGAAAGGAGAAGCCTGTTCGCGGAATGTCTTCTGGAGCGAGGAGGTCAGGTAGATACTGAGCGAACTTCTTGTTCAGAGGATCTTCTCCTGGTCCAGGCCTTGCAATTTCGGTACGCAGACCAGAGAGAGTCCCAACTCCACCAGGGCCACGCAGAGAATCTGCAAAAGAGTTGGATGAGGTGGTTGTACTGGCTGAGCGCTTGCGTCCAGAGTTCAGACGAGCCTGCAAAGCGGGACGACGGACAGGCGATGCATTCAAAGACGCACTTATCTGGGCTGCGTGAGTGGGAGGGTGTCGTAAAGTATCAAATGAAGATTTGGGAGTGGCGCCCGGGGAAGTCGTTGCCAGTGTGGAATTCGATTTCCGCCGAGCTCGAGGAAAATAGGCCAGTGCCCGGCGGGGCACCCTCAAAACCTCCACGGGTTCTTTGAAAGATGGGAGTACGACCCATGAGTCATGCCTGAACGTCACTTCCTCTGATGAGGGCGTGATAAAGGAGATGGGCTCTGATGTGAGAGTAGAGGAACCAGAAGTCGGGTCCTCAACGGTTGAAGGAGTAGAGAGAGGAGAGGGGTGGAACAAGTCCTGAGACAGGTATGGACTGTCGACTTTCCTACCTCGTGCTGAGCATGCGTCAAGAGGGACCAAGACATGTGTACGTGTCTGTATATTGTCGTTGGGCCAGAAACGATTGACTTTTCGAAAGGACTCTCCTTGACAGTTGTACTTGATGACAACGCCTGCCATAGTGTCATCCTTGGTGACTTTGTGCATGTAAACCAATGTATCTTGACTGGAATCAGGCGAGATCGAAAACGATGTATCGCCATTGGAATCTCTTCTTTTATATCTCCCAATACTATCCTGGGTGTCGGCCGCAGCAGCAAGTAACAATGCCTCTCTCTTTTTTGCCTCGAGCTTTGACTTTCGCTCTGCAATTAGATCGTGGGTAGGAGCGCTGGCACTAAAGTTGGGACCCCATTCGAGAGCGGGTTTGTTGGTGGAAGAGTATAGTCTGTCCTGCCTCATCCATGCGGGAGTCTTGAAGGGGGCATTTGACTTGTCCTTGGTCGATGCAGGGGATTCGGATCTCAGGAAACTTGAGGCAAGTCCCTGAATTGAAGACCATGGTTCCCATATCACTGGCGTCGTGGTCTGTGACTGTTGCGAGCCTGAAGAACTCAGGCCATGCAACTTTGAAGTCCTGGCCGTTCTGGGTGTGTCGAGATCGAGATTAGGGGAGACGCCTCGACTTGGTTGGCGAGGGGGGGTTGGAGCGATGGAGGTGAGGGTGGCGGATGATGTTGAGACGGCGGTAGAGTCGATGTTATCATCGCCAAGGTATGAGATGAGGCGAGCGCCTCGAGGACGAAGAGTGGAGTTACTATTGTTGGATGACTGGTACAGGCCCGAGAGAGACCCGTTGTTCATGGCTACCCTTGGAACAAGGTCGAGGCATCACATTGATAGATGGAAGCGGCGACATGAGTCAGCTAGGAGGATTGGCTCCGGTAAGGAAGATCCATGAACGTTGTGGACGAGACCGTGTCTGTAGGAAGGAAAGGAGCGTGAGGCCTTGGGGGTTGGCGTGTGATGATGCCCCCAAGACAGTACACCCAGCCGGCGACGCACAAGGCAACAAAGCGTGCTCCAAGTGTCAATGGGTGTTGGACTGCGGTATATTCCTGTCGTCCTCATATATAGTATTGTGGTTTGACCATAGCACTCAGACTTGGAGACAGTACAATGTTGGTTATGGTGTGCGGTGACTACGGAATGCAGCTGCTGGGAAGGACTCTCTTTGAGGGGATGATGACACCCGCCATGAAACGGATTGGGTTAGATTGAGATGAGGAAACAGAGTGGCTTAGCGGCTCGATTCCAGTTGCGCAGCATACGGAGTATGTCTCGGTGCCTACGGGGTACCTAAGATCCCCGGATGGTCAAGGAGCAGGAGAGGACTATAGGCGGCTTGGTTAGCCAACTATGGCTGTTTCCTCCTTGGAGATCCTCCTTGGAGAGTAGGTTCTGGCCGCCCATAGCGCCAACTGAACCCCACATTGTCTGTCACCTTTTGGTGCTTTTCTCTTCCAAAGATGCTCCTGCTGCCCTGCAGTTTTTATCCCTCTACTCGTAATGTTCTTTGGTGGGTTGCGACTTCCCCAGTCTCCAGCTTAATCACGTGGACATCAATCGACCTCCCCCATGCTCCCCTCCATATCTGTGATTCTGTCACTGTGCACCGATGAAAGTAAAACAGCTAACAAGATTGAAAATTCTTTTACCTGTGCATTGCCAATCGATTCTGTACTTCATATCCCATGCAGACGTTCTAGCGTCAGAGCTTCATTCATCTATCATAAAGGATGGATTCATGTCTCTGAAACCCCCATGACCCCCCCCCCCCCCCCCCCCCCCCCCCCCCCACCCCACTCTGATCGCCCCATTCATCGATTTCCTGCCATTCAGTCATTTTTGCTCAATTTTAGCCTTACACC